ATGGAAAAAAATCTACACACATTTATAGAAGGACAAGGAATTGACAGACAAAACTGAGACCGTTCTTGATATCTAGAAATGACAGGCTCTTAAAAAGAATAAATATCTCACTCAAAAATGCCAAGAGGCATTACAGAGTATTTTTGAATAGAGTCAAAATTCGTTCTGTTGCCATACATATACGGCCATGCATAGATACATCTACGAGCAAGAAATATTAGTGACTAACCTTCCTTGTGACAACGGGAAAGCTGGAAAGACTTAGGAGCAGGATTCACAGCCGTGTGCAAGTTCTCAGCCAGGCCTGGAAGCAGATGGCATTTTTAAACATCTTTTATCCACATGTGACATTGGTGTACTTTGTCCTGCTTTGCATCAGAAACTGGAATAGATAGAGCAAAGACTCCTAACTGTGATTCAAGGCTTGGAAAAAAAAAATGTTTCAAGAGTGAGAAGTTTAGTTATTTTGCTCCTTAAGAAAAAGACCAGTGAGCATTTTTGCACAGTGCCTAAAGTCAGTTCACGATAATATTCTATATGGAAATTTAGTCAGGCTGATAAAGGCATACTAGGAGCCTGAGGAGATGGGAAGCTGGAAGCCATCTGAAATTCGGTGCTTGGGGTCCAGCACCTTAACCAGTATCCAACTTGGCAACTAAAAGGCTGGAGATTACAGAGATTACAAACCACTAATTTTTTTCTGTCCCAGGACTCAGGGCAAGGTCAACAAAGGTTGCTCACTTGTTTGGTGGAGGTTTGGGCAATGCTGAAGAAAGGCTTTGAGACCCACAACGTTAGAGTTGTATCCCCTCCCCCAACCCCATGTATTGTTTCTCATTTAGCAACCTTGAATTTCACCTACCATTTTAATAACCCAGTCACTCGCTCCAAAGATCCTTCTGCACCTTTCCACAGGCTGATTCAGTGTTCAGTGTTTTGGATCATTTTGCAAAATCAACAGACCTTAGCACTCCATGCTCCAGATTGTTCTGAGGGTGTTGAATGGTGGGGCAGATGCCCTCAGATGCTGGACACTCATAACTTCTCTCTGTCATCACCAGCCTTGCTGCTGGTTTAAAACCTGCAGAAGGTGATTTTCCCTGTGCTAGGGCTGTTGTTTAAAAGGTTTTGCCAGCCTGTTTTTCCCTAAATTCCCTGGCTTTTCATCATGTGGGGGGTTGAGGTGAGTGGTGAATTACTTATAGCACAGTTACCTGTTCATCCATTTCATGCTGGAGATCATCCAAGTCTGGCACTTGATACTGTGCTGCCCTTTAATGTCACAGATACGTTCTGGAGTCCTGATGCTTTGGTTTGCAATTGCGGCTTCATCTCATCGCTGCCGAGGAAAATCTCGTCTGGCAATACTCCAAAGCTCCTCTTATGGCAAAACATCAACTTCACTTTTCTGTCATGGCCCTAAGCTTCCCTAATCACTCCCACAACAGCTTATGGTTTTTGGCAGCTTTCTTGCCTCCAAGATATGTTGAACAAGGTTTTTATATTTTTTATTTGTCACAGAGTTTCCTGAAAATCTGCCATTTTTTTTCTTTAGTCTTTTAAGATTCATTCTCTAGTATTTATGAGTTTTTCTTTTATTTTCTTTTATTTTCATTTGATTACAGCTTCGCTTTTTGATGGCTGCCTTTTTAAATTTTATGCAGTAAAGTATAACCCAGCACTACTGTTCCTTGTAGGAACATTTAATTGAGAATAACTCCCTCGAGAAGATGACCCTTCTATAGTAAGGTAATATACGGAGGTAAGTCAGCTGTCCTAGAGTAAGAGATTGCATTCAGCTCAGAAGAGTACGTAACAAATTATTTGTTTTTGCAGTATGCACACAGTACGATTGCTCAAAGGTAGGCAGCCTGTTTTTGATGAAATGCCTGCATTCTGTGAGTACTGCTGGAGCCCACAGGGGTATTTGCTTACCCTGCATTTATGTCATGAACCTGCATTTTGTGAATGGCATTTGTTATGAAGGAGTTTGGAACATTATTGTTTAAGGTGTCTTTTATCGCTCTTCAATACATGCCTTCTGTCATAGTCTTTCCATTAGAGATCTGTATCTCCTCTTCCTTGCATTGATCTTGTCAATTGCTTTGCTCCAAGACTGATTTACTTCAGTAGTGGACAGAGTACATTTAAGATGTCCAGGATCTTTTTTTACTGTGCTTACACATTCACCATTTTGTTACATTTTGTTGTGATTTTTCAAGTGAGCTTAATTATTTTACACATCTGCTCAAGCTGATTTTCACTATATGGCATCTTCCTTAATGCTGAGGTTCCATGCTGACATCTCAAGAAGGTGATCTGAGGACAACTAGCCCTTTCTTGGGGAAGTAATGCATGTGTGGTAGTCAGTGCAAACGCCAATGAAGTATAAAATAATTTCTCTAAATTTTCAAAGTTGTCAGAAAACTAAATTTTCCCATAACATCACTGCTAATTACCATTAGCTGTCCTAAAACTGAAAACAAAAAAAGTACAGCTTACTACCCGTAGAAATGGTTGGCTGCTCATCAGAGAGCTTTCTGTCATCACAGCCCTGCATGGGAGTGAGCCCAGATCCCACGATGGCCCAGCACAGCGAGCCCTGGTGCCTGGCCAGTCAAGGAAGGCAGTCAAGCCTTCAACCAGGATCAGTGTCCTTCTATGCCTTCCCCTTGCAAGGTGTTCACGAACTAGGATAGATTCTGGCTTATCACAGCTGCTCTTGGAGTTGGTTTGTCCCAGCAAAGTGGTGTGATCGCTTTTCACTCCTTTGCTGAACAAGAGCCTCCTTATGTTTGCCTGAGCACCTGACTTGCCAGACCAAGCATTTCCATCAGTTTTCCTTAGAAATGCTGTAGGAACAAACCTATAGCTCCCTTCCTGTGGAGAAGACTCTTCTCCAGAGACAGAAGCAGCTGCCATAGCAGATCTCCCATCTTTATCCCAATGCCATTCACAGTAATATGTCAGTTTTTCAAATTGATCAAAAAAAAAAAAAATTTGTTTTTTTAGGTCAGGGTTGCAGTTCTCAGACAGGCTGGACACTGAGCCAGCTTTTCCAACTGCCCGGAGGGGCCTTGCTGTGGTGCCAGCTGTAGGCACAGTGTCTGGATGCAAAATGAGGATTCTGGAGAAGTGCTGTGCTTTTCAGGGAGGTTATATGAGAGAGGAAACCAAGCCCTCTAGGCAAGTCCAAAAGCTGCATGACTTGTTTGCCACACTCGTTCTCCCTGTTTCCATACAAGACCAACCGTGTTTTAAAGACTGTGATTCCTGGCTTGCGCCTTGCCTGAATACTTTTATCGTTTTTCTAGGAATTTCAAGCAAGATTGTAAACTAGTTGAAAAAGTATTTTAAAACACAGTGAACATTTATTCAAGACATTCCCAGCAATTGTTGGTCTGAGAGCACATACTCTTCCCTGCACCCCACCCCCCAGGTTGTGTGATCTTGCTCATTCCCACAGCAATTTGATCTCAGGTCGGATAGGGCTCACTCTTGTTAAATAACAAGAATTCTTTGCTCTATGTGAATTTTCAGGCACCCTTATCTTGCTTAGGAAACATAAGGCTTTTAGAGAAAAAAAGGTTCCAGCTTTTAACCCTGTTCAAAATATATTTGTTTTACATGGGAAAACAGGCATATCCATCCCTCCCCCCTCCCCTGCGAGGTGTTTCAGTAGCCTCTCTGCACTTCCAGATTATCAAGCAAGGCGCTGACTGGCGCACACACAAATATGCACACAGCACAGCCATTCAAAGCACCCAAGCACAGCAATCAAGGACAGGATGGGACCAACCCAAGACTCATTTGTAAGCCTGACAGGTCTGCAGGCTACACCTCTCCTCAGCAGAAACCCAGCTCCACGGGAGGGCTGCCTCCAGTGAGTTCCAGCATCAGGCAGCTCCCATTTAACTCCAAAGTTACCTAAAGCTCCCATGGGGCCATTTGTGGGGTAAGCCAGATATTCGTGCTGTCCCAGGGCTCGTGAGCTGCTCAGAGTCCCAGCTTCTATCCAGAGGCAGGTTATTTAACCTTTTTCTCTTTGCAACACAACTTTGAGTCATCGCCCTCTAGTCCAGCAAACATTTAATTTTTACGCAGCTCTCAACTGGAGATAAGCAGCTCCAGGAAGCTTATGTCCAGCATACCTTGATCCTGGGAGTTTTAAGTCCTCCAGCTAAGTCCTTGCTGCATCCAGATCAGGATCTAAAGCGGGGTCCGCACAACAGCTCCAACCCTGCCTGCCAAAGAGAGAACACATCAGCCCTGAGATGTTAAATTAAGCTGCTAAAAATGGAGTGCCACGTGATTTTGTGCAGTGCATCGCTTATCTGTCCTAGCACTCACAGGTCATGGAAGGCTGTCCCTGCCCAGCAGTGTTCCTGCTTCCAGAGGTAACACAGGGAGTCAGAGGGCTGACACTCACCTTGCAGAGATTTGCTGCTCAGCAGCTTAACTGCAACTGCCCCTCCTTACGCACAGAATTAAGCCAGAATTAAGACTAGCCACCACCATGCTGACACTGGCCTCCGACACGTCCCTAGGCAGCCATTTCCTCTCGGGCAAAGCCAGTTCATTTTAAGAGGTAATAGCAGATGAAATATCTTCCGTGTAACACCAGGAAGTATCTTCCTTGTCCCCTACTAAGGCAGAGAAGGAGAACTAATTTCTGTTTCTTGTACCCCCTTAGCAAATCAAGTGCAGAACCACCTTGCTCAGTACTTTATCCTGCATACGCCCATCAGACATGCAAATCCAGAGGCAGAAAGTGGATGGAGTCACAGAGCTGCTTTCCTTTCTACCACACAGCAGGTCTTGTGAGCGCAGCCCTGCACCACACCTTATTTTGGCTCACAGGCAGGAGCCCTGCCTCTCCCATGTGGAATGAGCAGCTCACCAGGCTGCACACATCAGCCACATGCAGCAGAGACTGTGCCATGCAGGCATCTGCTCCCTACACCCCTCCCCTCTATTTCCACTGACAGACAGACAAGGCATTTCAGATGGTGATAACTTTTATTGATGTAAGGTGGTACACAAACAGATCAGTTTCTATCAGCCTCTCCACCTCCCCCAGGCTCGGGGAGAAGTTGGAGGAGTGGGGGAGACAAGGGAACAGAACTGGCCTCTCACTGCAGAATGCAGAGCTAAGCGGTGGTGAAGAAGGGCAGGGGCTCCAACAAGGGAGAATCCTGCTTCCCTAGGCAGCAGGGGGGCTTGTGTGCTCGGCTCACTCCTTGGATGCCATGTGGACCATCAAGTCCACAACACGGTTGCTGTATCCATACTCGTTATCATACCTGGGGACAGAAAATAAGTGCTGTCAGGGCTGACCCATTCCTCAAATCCTTTCTTCCATTCTTGTAGCTTCCTTGCCCCATCCTACACAACTGATCCAGGCAGCTTCCCATCTACCTCCAGTAAGAAAGTGATAAGCATCCGACCCACCCCTCCAAAAGGGGAAGGAGAAAACTGTAGTTGTTTCAGCTAAGAAGCAATCTCACTGCATTGAGACTGTTACAAGCTGGAGCCAACCCTACTCCGCAGGGGTCTATGTATCCCCCTGGACTACCAGCAGTGACCAACAGAACCCAACTCTGCAACCTGCCTGTGCCAGCCCCCACCAAGGCTGCACCTACCAGGAAACCAGCTTGACGAAATGGTCGTTCAGTGCGATGCCAGCACCCGCATCAAAGGTGGAGGAATGGCTGTCACCATTGAAGTCACAGGAGACAACCTGAAACAGAGGGGAAATTGTTAACACACAGTTACCCAAGATCCCAGCAAAGCTGCTGCCAGTCATAGAAATGAGGCAAGTGATGGTAACCACAGGCCAGGAGACCAGGAGTTCCTTACCTGGTCCTCTGTGTATGCCAGGATGCCCTTCAGGGGCCCATCAGCAGCAGCCTTCACTACCCTCTTAATGTCATCGTACTTGGCCTGAGAAGAGACAGATGGGAGATGGTCAGATCCCAATTCACACAAAATGTCCGCCAGGGGCAGGGGAGGGAGGACAAACACATAGGAGCACCATAGCAGGTGCTATTTTCACAAAGATAAACTCTTCGGATACAAAGTCAGGTGCACAGAGGGCAATTCCAGGAGCAAGACGGAGTTTAGAGGAAGCAGGGGCACCATCTGAAGGCTGTTAGGACCTTGTCCACGACACTTACTGGTTTTTCCAGACGGCAGGTCAGGTCCACAACAGAGACATTAGGGGTTGGCACACGGAAAGCCATTCCAGTAAGTTTCCTGTGAGAGAAGTGAGTCAGCAAGAAACAGTATCTAGGATCCCTCTGCCAACCCTCCATTCCCCCAGGAATATTCTGCCTCCTCCTCACAACCAAGAAGGGGCACTCACCCATTAAGCTCAGGAATGACTTTTCCCACAGCCTTAGCAGCTCCAGTAGATGCTGGGATAATGTTCTGAGCAGCACCTCTGCCATCCCTCCACAGCTTCCCAGAGGGTCCATCCACTGTCTTCTGTGTGGCTGTGATGGCATGGACAGTGGTCTGAGAAAACAGCACAGGAGTAAGAACACAGCCAGTACTCTCCAGAAACAGCATCCCAAGGAACACAAGGAGTTACTGATGCTTTCCCTCTCACATGAAGGGACCTGTGGATAGGGCACCCTTCTCAGCACCAAGCTGCAGACCTACCATAAGACCCTCGACGATGCCAAAGTTGTCATGGATGACCTTGGCCAAGGGTGCCAGGCAGTTAGTAGTGCATGAAGCATTGCTGAGGTAGAGAAAAAAAAGATACATGAGCCAGAGGTGAGAGGAGACCCCACACAGCCGGTGAGAGCTCCAGGCCAGAAAGCATCTTCCTCTCTCCTTACCTCACAATTTTCAGAGACTTGTCGTACTTCTCGTGGTTGACACCCATCACAAACATGGGAGCATCAGCTGAGGGGGCAGAGATGATAACACGCTTAGCGCCACCCTTCAGGTGAGCCTGGAGAGGGAGAGGTAAGAGGTTAGATAACTCAGGATCCCTCCAAGCGTGCTTCTTCACCACCTCTTCTCCTTTACAACCCCATCTTGAGCAACTCCACACATGGTAATGTGCCCCAGAGGCAAGAGTGGTTGTATCCCTTCTCTTGTGTGCCACTATGGCATACTTACCCCGGCCTTCTCCATGGTGGTAAAGACACCGGTGGACTCCACAACATATTCAGCACCAGCATCTCCCCACTTGATGTTGCTGGGGTCACGCCTGAGGAGAGACAGAATTGTAAGAGCTGCTCCACAAAACACACGCTTTCATGCTCCAGACGGGTGAGAGGAAAAGAGATTACTTACTCCTGGAAGATGGTGATAGCATTCCCATTAATTACAAGTTTCCCATTCTCAGCCTTGACAGTGCCCTTGAAATGACCATGAGTAGAGTCATACTTGAACATGTAAACCTAGCAAAGAAAGAGAGAGTAAGGTCAGGTACCTGGGCTTCAATCCTCCTATAACACTCGTTTTTCCTGGGAAGCTACTAGAACAGATCCAGAGAAGCCCTACTCGGAAAGGCCCAGAGGGGGCACTGCAAGGCAACTCACCATGTAGTTCAGATCAATGAAAGGATCGTTGATGGCCACCACTTGGACTTTGCCAGAAAGGACGGCAGCCCGGGTGACCAGGCGGCCGATGCGGCCAAATCTGGAAAGAGAGAAAGAGACGGGTGTGAAGGCACAACAGGGAACCTGCCGGGCTGGGCACGCAGGCAGTCCTTGGCAGCCTTCCCTCGGGATCATCTGCTGCTCCCTGCCCGGCAGGGCAGGAGGGAGCCCTGCAGCCCGTCCAAAGGCCAAGGCACCCCGGTTAAAGATTAAGAGCGACCCCCGCCCCGGAAAGGTCAAGCGCTAAATTTACTGAGGCCCCGGGGATCCGGTTACTCCTCGGCCCTGCACGAGAAGGTCACATCCCCGGGGCCGTCACCGACACACGATCCACCGGGCGACCTTTCGGTGGGGGGCTGTGGGGATCCCCGGGGATGTGTGGGGGGAAATTGGGGCAGCTAAGCAGCGAAAGCGCCTTCCGGGGTGAGTCACCCCGAATCTGCAGGGAAGTGACTCAGCAGGCACCGCTTTGCCCCGGGGGGCGACGGCGGAGCGGGGACCGGAGGGGCTCAAACCGCCCCCCCTCCACCCAAATCCTCCCCCGCGCCCTTGAGGCGACCTTGCCCCCCCCATCCCGACTCCCTCCCTGCCCCACCGACCCCGACACTCACCCGTTGACTCCGACTTTCACCATCTTTGCTTCTTCGGGATGTTCCTGCGGGCAGAAACCGCCATTGAGGGACTGAGGGGAACCGGCCACAACCGCCCCACGCTGCCGCGCGCGCCCCGGGCACCGTTAACGTCTCTCCCTCGCTGAGGGGGCGCGAGGGGGGCGGGCGAGGGGCTGCCCGCGCTCCGAGCCCGCCCCCACCCGGGCGATCATCCCCCCGCCCCGGGCCATCATCCCTCCGCTCCTCCCCGCACCCCCACCCCGAGCCTCCCATCCCCTCCTCCTCCCCCTCAGGTGATCATCCCGCAGACCCACGTCCCCATCCCCCTCGCCTCCCCTTATGCTGCCCCCGCCATTTTGCGCCGCGCCGCCTTTGTGCCCGCGGGCCCCGCCGCCACGCGGCCCTGCTCCGCCGGGGCTGCCGCCCGCTGCCGCCTCCCCACCGGTGGGCGGTGTGTGCATATGTGGGGAGGGGAAACCTCACACGCCCACCCCCGGCCGCCACTCTCTCCCCCTCCGCGCATCTCCCGGCCCCCCGCCCGTTACCTGCTGCCTCCGAGCCGCCCAGCGCGCAGTGAGGAGGTGGCGCAGCGCTCCTCCGCCACCCTTTATAGGCACGGAAGGGCAGGGCTGGGGCCCGCCCCGCCGCGCCGCAGCCCAATGGGAGCGCGGGGGCCGGGCCGGGCTACGTGCGCCCGCGCTGCGGGTGCGGCCGCCGGACCCCCCCGCAGCCCCCGCCCCGCCGCCCCCCGGCAACAAAGGCCCGGCGCCGGGAACGACGGGTCCGCGGCGCTCATCCTCGACCCGTCAAGCCGCCCCAGGGCTGGCGGGGGTTGGCGGTGGTACCCCTGCCCGAGGAGGCGGAGGGGTCCCCCCGCCGCCCCCCGATGATGCCGGTGAGGGACTGCCCCCGCCGGCCTCGCTGCTGCCCCGGGGGATGGCGTGCGCTGCTTTCACCTGGTAACAAAGGGCAGGCACCCCCCAACCCCCTGCACGGAATAGTATCCAGTATCTGAAGGGGACCTACAGAGAAGCCGGGAAGGGATTCTCTGATAAGAACTATAGTGATAGGATAAGGAGTAACGGCTACAAATTGAAAGACGGGAAATTTAGGTTGGCTATTAGCATTGACTTTTTTAATGTGAGGGTGGTGAGACACTGGAACGGGTTTTCCAGGGAGGTCGTGGATGCCCCAGCCCTGGAAGTGCTCAAAGCCAGATTGGATAAGGCCTTAAGCAACTTGGTCTAGTGAGAGGTGTCCCTGCCCATCGCAGGGGGATTGTGACTAGATGATCTTTCGAGTCTATTCCAATCCCTTAACATTCTATAATTCTGTGGTAGGAAGGGCGAAAGGGATGCTGGGGACACCCCAAGGTAGCAGCCTCTTTGCAACTCCCAATTCCCCTGGCGCTGGGAAGCTGCAGGTGTTGGCTGGGAGCTCTCTCACCCTGAGCCTGGGACCCACCCCGGGTGGGTTTATCGAGGCGTGTCCTGGAGGGGCCCCGGGCGGGCCGCAGCGTGAGCACCATCTTAATGAGGCACTGCGGCACTGGTGCCGCTGCCCGCGGGACGTGACGGCGGAAATCCTGCTCGTCTGCCGCCTCGGCCCGCCTTCCCCGGCTGCCTGCGAGGAGGAAGCGCTCCTGGCATGGCCGCTGCCCTGCTCCCCGCCCCCCATCCCGGGCTCCCTCTCTGAGCCCTGCCGGGTTGCATCCCGCGACTCAGTGCGGGGCAGGTGCGGCGGGACAAACTCGCGTTAGATACAACGCCAACAGCACGCCCAAATCCCCCCCCATCCAGAAGGGAGGTGTGGGAACAGTGTGGTCTCCTCCAACTCAGAGAGAAGTCTGTGATTCTAATGGATTCCTGTGATTCTAATGGATGGAAATCTGGACGGGCGGGGGAGGGGAGGGGGAGGTGGTGGGAGGAGGAACGTCCCTCTGGCTGCTCAGCTGAGGAGGTCTTTGATGATGAAGAGGGGGGAGCGGGCTGGGGGAACCACGCAGATACTCGGGTGGGGGGCAGAGAGGGGTCACACAGCTCAAACGTAACCCAACTCTCCTTGTACCACTGCTATTCCCGGTGCTGCCGAGGTGCTGGCGGCTAAGTTTAGACACCAGCTGAGGTTACAACCTTTTCTTAAAGGCCAGAGGATGATGATGGCTCGCGTGGTATAGCAGCGGGGCTGCGAACGCGTGCCGGGGTCCGTGGTGCCCCAGTCGCAGTACACCGAGGGAGGCTCCGCAGGGGAAGCTTCACCGCAAAGAGGAGGCCCCTGTGTTTGCTCTGGTGGGGGCAGAGTGCGGCCGGACTGAGCCAACGCGGCCCTTGTACTCCGGTGTCCGGTGGATCCTTCATCCGTGTGCCGCCCCCCCTCCTCGGCAGCACCGCGCCGCAGCCGCGCGTGCCGCCCGCCCCGCGCGGAATGGCGGCGGCGGCACAGCCCGGTGCGGCCCCGCGCGTGGGGCCGGGGGCGCGGGGCCAGCTCTGCCGCCGCTTCCCGCCCGCCCCACGGCCGGGGGGCGGCCACCGCCGAGCTCGGACGCGGCAATTAGTACAGCGTGTTTAATCAGCGAGTCCTCAGGCGCGGGGACGAGGGGAAAGGGCTGCTGGCGTAGCCGGGGGTCCAGCGGCAGAGGGGGCCAGCTGCGGAGATGGGCAGCTTCTCCCGGTACCGCCGCGCCGCTTCCCCGCAGCCGCCGCCGCGCTCCTTCGGGACGGGAGCTTCGGGGCTTCGTCCAGCGGTGCGCCGCGCCGGTTCCCCACGCCGTGCTCGTCCCCGAGCCTGGGTGACCCCAGCTGTGGAGAAGCGGGGCTGGTGAGCCGCCCAGCGGCGTCCCGCCCGCCTGCTCCCGCCCCGGCCGGGCCCCAGCACAGCCCCGGCAGCGCGGGGGGTCCCCGGCCCTGGCCCTGCATGCCGGCAGGTGGTGGCCTCATAGCCTGCCCCCGCTGCCCCCATCCGCTCGCTCTCTGTGCGTTCAACTCTCCCCTTAACTTCGTCCCTGCCCGTTTGTTCGAGCCCCCTCACTGCTGGCCCTCTCACCTCAGAGCCCCTCCAAATCTAACACCCCAAACCACTGAAGGTCCCGATGCGGTCCAGTTTCAGCCCAAAGCAGCCCCTGGGCATGGCCTTCCAGGCCCAATCTCCAGGCAATGCCCACTTTCGACTGGCGAGGGTCTTGCGCCAGAGGGAAGGACGGGCAGCTCTAGCCCTAGATGGGAGGAAGGGGAGGGTGGAGGAGAGTAGCTGAGGACCAAAGCTGGACCCCTCCTTTGTGTCCTCTTCGGCCAGCGTGGAGTCGGGCTCCAGGGGCAGCAACCGTGAAAGGAGCATCTGGGATAAACAGAAACAAGAGGGGGGTGAGAGCAGAGATGCCTTTGCTCCTGGCTATAAGCTTTGTACCCCCTCGTACTCCACTGCCCATACCCTCCTTAGGGCTTAGGCAGGACCTAAAGTGATGTTTGCGCACAGCACTGTGCCTGTGACATTGCGTCCAGACAGAGGGAAGGGCTAGATCACCAGCTCCTGCTGTCTGAAATGACTGCTGTCCAAAACAGCAGGCAGGCACCTGCTGTGAGCCTCTGCCTGCGTGCAGATTGCCCTGCTCTTGTCAAGCCATACACCAGCCTCCCATCCCTGGATTTGGAAGGTAACAGGCTTCAGTCCTTGCTCCTCTTGTGGATGCTGAGCTCCTCTGTGTATTCAGGCTGCTGTGTGGCATTTCATTTCTTCCAGAAGGCTGGTGGGAAGGATGGACCTGCCTCAAATACTTGCTGGTAAGAGGGAGAGGCAGGAGCAGAGCAGGTGTGAGGAAGGGGGACTCCCCATCTGCCAGGAATCCTCTAGATCATATCTGCTGATTGTACACCCCCAGCACTGCTGGAAGCCTGCAGACAAGGGTTGATGGTTGCATTGGGTGCACTAGAGGCATGGCATGGCTGCCCTGGGAAGCAGCCTGCAGTAACCATTCCACATCTGTCTCTCACATGGATGCTGAGCTAAGGCTGAAGATGCCTTTGTGCAGCTCTTTGCAATAGCAAGTTAACTGAAGCGGACACAGGCATCTTCAGCGAGGAGTGAAAGTGTTGAGTCATACCAGGATCAGTCTTGCGATTTTAGTTCATGTCCTGACTACTTCCCTGGAGCTTTCCAGGGTCATGTGAAGGCAAGGTGTTGGGGCTCAGGTTAGGGTTTGGGTAAGAGGGAGCTGGGTAGATTTGAAAGCCAAAAATATTATTGCTGCAACTACTGAGGATAAAAGATTTACTCAAGTGAAGAAGCCTTTTGCTGGCATCCTGACAGGGGCTCTTGGCCTTAAAGAGTGTCTACTGAGGGGCAGTACTGAACTTAGGAGCAAAAATCCTGGCCAAACAGGATATTTCTTCCCTCTGAAATGTCAGAACCAGGCACTGAACATGATGAGAGATACAACTGTGATTTCTGGTTGTTGCTGACAGAGAGCAGGGTAAGACAGGGGCAGGCTCTTTACCATTAAAACCCTCTGCAGAGCACTAAAAAGCTTTTGTGCGTTTCCCATCTTAAAATGCTGGTGCTCTTTAGGAGCTGGGTTATAAAGTCACCCTAGAGCTGAGGCTGTTGGGACTGAAGGGGAGGGAACAGTGAGAATAGACAGCAGCCTCCAGTAGTTGAAATTTGGGACTGCCACTCATTCGAGGTTCAAACACAACTTCCCCAAATTGTCTCTCCACTTCTGAAACCTCCCTCAGCTCTCTCCCACTCCCTCCTACCTGTAGCCTTTGTCCTGGTAAGGACACAGTCTGAACGCTGGCAGAGAGCAGAACCAAGATGAGGAAAAACGAGCAAGGCCATGACTGGAGCCCCAGCATCATCTTCTTATCCCAGGGCTTGTGGGAGGTGAGGCAGGACACGCAGCATCCGTGTCGAATGTGGCCCCTCGCCCCTCTCTGCCTTTATAGCTTTGGTTCTGGCCGGCGCCTGGCTCCCAGCTCCCTGCTGATCCACCCCCCGGAGCTCCTTAACCTTTCAGCCCTTTTGTCCAGGGTGATATATTTCAGGGTGAGCTCAGCAAGACCCCTTCCTCTAAAGAAAAAGGACACAAAGGTGTTTACTGAGTGTCTGGGAAGACTAATGTCTTCAACTCAACTCACTCAATGTGAGTTGAGCTGCTGCTGCCCAGGACCTGGAGGTATCTGTCAGGGTCAGGGACGGGGTGACACTTTGAAACATGTACCAAAGGAGGATATTGAAGGCTGCATTGTGTAATGGTATTGAACATACTCCTTGTAGGCAGAGTGCTGTTACTGCTGTTTCTCTAATCAGCATGAGTATGAACTACAGCTCATCTAGCAGTGGGCACGCTGCTGGCTGCACAGAACAGACACAGGTTCAGCTCTGTGACAATACAGGCATTTGGTTTTAGTATTTATATTTTGGTGAGACAGTTGGTCTGGAAATGAAGAGCTCCTGCTGCAGAAGGTGGGTGAATTCTGGTACTATATGGAATTTGTAGCAGTGACAGGACCCTGGGTCTAGTATTAGTGGGCATATAATTTGCAGGCTGGTTGTCCCAAATCACCATCTAGAGGACTGGGGTGAGTTTCCAGAGGAACCATCACAGAAAAGACCTTGTTGAGGCTCAGTTTGCACTTTCTCAAGCTCAGGCATACAATGGAAGCAGGACGGCAAGAAGCAGATTCCTACCTCCTAAATCTTCTGGCCATTAGTTCCCCCCCTTTGTTTACCTCTCCCATTTTACTGTAGTTTCTCACCAGCTGAACAAGGCAATGAGGTCACTGTTTGGAGATCAGGGTGCAGAAGTCAGCCTGGTTATGAAGACAGAAACTAATCAGGAAAGTTTGTCAGGGGAGAGGAATGGGGGGACTGTACCCCAGTACAGGATTAGTAATGGGTGTACTGGGTGCGTTTAACACAACCTTAAACTTCCCTTTCTTCAGTACTGTTGCACAAAGCAGTTGGGTCAAAACTTGACAGGAAGTGTTCTGCTGCCTGCTTTTGCTTATTTTTTACAAGGAAAGAAGAAAATTAGAAAAGAAAGTTGTGTTTGTTTGTTTGTTTGTTTTTTCCCCAAGGAAAGAAAACTAGAAAAAAAAACTCTTTTGCAGAGATAACAAAAGTCACAGTTCAGATATTTGCTCTCTCTCCCTCCCTCCATTCCTTCTTTCTGAAATGAAACACCTACAGATGCTGACTTGTGGGTCCCTTTCTTCACTGCCCAAGGAGCCAGAAAGTTTTACGAACCATTTTGCAACCAGTCTGCGAGAAGTGAGTAGGGGCATCACTCTGGAGCAGTGATGCTGGAAGCAGGAGACACTTTGTACAGGTGGGGCCATCCAATTTTATTAGCTCCACCTGATATCGGTGACCCATGTCTGGTGTCGGCTCCAAAGCAATGCAATCCTCTGGTGATCTTGTCCCCTGTCACCCCCTCGCCTGACCCAGCACACGGAGGGGCTCCCTAGGTCCCTGCTAATGTCCTTCACCGAGACCTTTCGTGGGGAACAGCATTACTTTCATACCAGCCTTGTAATCTACAAAGCACAGGTGACTGCTGGAGAGTCATGGGACGTGCTGTCCACGTGGGCATTCAGACGGGGGTGCCTGGGCACAGACGGAGTTTGGGATGCGTGCACAGCCATGTGCTGGGTGCAGTAGGGTATGGAGTATCGTGGTGTGAAAGATTCAGAGGGGTGGAAAAGAAAGGGAGGAGGACAGGAAGTGAGCACGTGTTCATTCCACATGCAAGGTGTCCCAGAGGATGCTGTTCTGTACTTCCCAGTCACATCTGACCAACCAGAAAGAGCTGAGTCAGCCTGCCAGAGCGCTCATGCTGCCGGCAAGAGAGCCGCAGGCAGGTGCATCTCGGGTTGAACGCACCGGTTGCAGGAGTCAGGTCTTTCCTGAGTGAAAGGTAAGTACCAAAGCAACAACACTTCGTTTTTGTTACAAAATGTAGCAGCAGCGTGACCTGGCATCCTCTGAATGTGGTGGCCCCCGTACTGCAAGAATGCCAGAAATGTGTTTGCAACTGCTCCAGAATTCCAGTCCACTTGCACAAAGACTGAGCCCTGCAGGGGTGGACAGGCTCTGAGATCTCAAGTGACAAGTTCCCCTCCTCAGATCCAGCAAAAGCTGGGGCTGGCAAGGGGGAAGGAACCATCACTTTCCCCTACCAAACAAGAAACTTTCAGAGACTGCAGAAAATTTGCACATTCTCTTGCAGATTCTTGAAAATTCTTGCAAATCCAGCAAAGCCTGGATAAAATGGTGCTCAATTACTCAGGTGCCGTGATGTTGCAGCTGCTCTGCGTCCCAGATCCTTGCTGGGACTGCAGTAGCACTGAAAAGTTGCTCTGACATGTCCTGGCAGTGACTGTGAAGTGAAAAGGCTTTGGCAGACGAGTCCCCAATTGCCCCAGTTTTCTGACTCAAATAGGTTATTGTCTTTCTTTCCTCTCTGATGCTAACAAGTTTCCTCTATAAAAACCCTTCCCCCTCTGATGCTAGGGCACTGATTCAAGAGCTTGCAAGACCACCAGAAAAGTGGTCTCCTGCTGAATCACAATCAGTGTTTTACAAACAGTTGCTTATATAGGAAAGGAGCAGGGCAACTGGAGGGTGGGAGGACTAGGAACTGAGTGAAGTACCCTGAGGGAACAGCCCTTGGCCCATGGTGATGGAAAGGGATAATGGTTGCTGCAGGCTCTAGAAGCAAGAGCAATATTCACCTTATTCCACTGGTATCATTTGTAGGAAGGAGGTCAGAGCAGCCATGGTCAGGAGTCCCTCAGAGAATGGAAACACCACTGATTTTGGCACTGAGTAATCCCACTGCCTCAGAAGCAAGGGAGTGACATTAGTACTTCAGTAGCAATTCCTGGTCATTGTGGCAGCCACCAAAATATCTGCTTGTGAGGAACAGAAGGGCAGCAACCATCTACTTTATGCAGTAGCCACTGTGTAGCTGTCCAAACCCCTCCTGGGTTTTGCCTCATCTTTCTGTAGGACTTCTTTATCCATGACACAGGACTGCTAATTTTTCCAATGTCAGGAGATGACAGTGAGGAGAGGAGGATGCTCCACCTGAAGAAGTTGCAAAAAGGGACCAAATGGAGCCACCACTCACTGACTTTCCACTCTCACTTGTCCAGGCAGCGCAGTGTCCAGGACAGAGCAAGAAACAGACTGCAAAGCAGTGAAGGAGCCACCGTGTCATCTGAGAAAGGTGGCTGCACGGCTCTCCCGAAGGAAGTTTAACCCCTTGTACTGGAAGAGCATGGCCTGAAGGTGAGCCAGCGCATAAGTTTTATGGCCACCTTGCTTCCTCTATCCACCCATTCATATTTCCCCTTCTGCACTACTGTCAACATATTATCTCACAAATACACAAGATTGATTGCACAGGCTCGTAAAACCTTGAGTCTGAGCAGACACCCATATATGCTGCCCTTTTCTTTTTTCATTCCCATGTGTGAGTGACAAACCCTGTGGGTGGTGGGGGAATCATGTACCGTGTGCATGACTCTGTCATATTTACTGCTGCCGCCTCTGTCTCCTGTAGCCTTCACTGAATATTTTATCAGGGAGGAAGGGAGAGAGGAGCAATATAGCTATAGCTTTCTGATCTTTGTATTTCACGTGATTGTGCTGTTGCTACTGGCGTGCCCTGGAGTTGGAGTATATCTGTACTGGTACCTGGCTCTTATGCCAGTGGTGGCAAGTGGGCAGGTATTCTCACTGTGGCACGGGACTCAAGTGTGGTGTTTGGTTCACATGGCTCACTCCAGTAAATACACCTGTCACCCTGTCATTCCCCCCATTCTACTTGTTTCTACACACATTTAACATGTTACCATGTTTAACATTTAATATGTCCATTCAGCTATTGGCATGAAAAACCATAGGGCCCAGGTCAATGCAAAGCTATGCAATTACTAATGACTTTTCTTTTTTTTAAAATAGGGATCAAATTAAGCTACAGCAATCTTTTACTGCTAGTTATGCAGCCAGGCCAGAGGGGAACTGAGCAGCATGCTCTGCTTCCTGGGTGAACCAAGGGTAACCCCAGCAACTGTGGGAAATTGGTAGATCCTCAGAGACAGAGACTGCAGAAGATCTGCAGGAAGCTGCAGAGAGGAGGAGGACCCTTCCTGTCCCTGCCCAGCTAGTGACTAGTCTGCTTTCTAGGCAGCTGACAGGTAAGAGGAAATAATTCTGTAGTAATAGCTCTGGGACAAATGCCAACTTGCCTTTGAGACAGGAGGTTAAAGGTTATTTATGTGATTAACACAAAGTTTAATTTAGGGCACTTTATGTTCACAGGGCAGTTCAAGGAGTGCCAGGACTGACTTGAACACTGATGTGGCATTCGTGGAAGGAAAGAGTGTAAAAGTGCCAGTCTTATTTGAAACATAATTGGATGTGCAGCTAATACATTCCAAAAAGCACAGTGAAACAGCCGATGCTATCAGTATACTTAGTGACTTGATCAAATCAGAATTATTAAAGTTTTTAGTGTTGGGTTGTTTTTGTTTTTTAAAACTTTTTAAAAACTTACTGAAGTTTATTGAAGCACTCTAGTCTAAGCTAACCTTTCTCTCTCCCTTTCTCCACACCCCCCAGTCCCTCAACTGTTCTTTGATGAGATCTGTAGAAGAAAAAGATGCAGGTAACTTCCCTCAGAGCCCTGCTGAGCTTTACAGGGCAAGAGCTTCTAAAAGGATCAAACATAAAAAGGCCTAAACCCAGCAAAACCATATTGGTCCTGTGCTGAAAGAAGCTGAATAGTGTATTATAAGCATGTACAAAATGAGAAAGGAATGAGCAGTAGCTTGGCTCTTCTTAGAAAGAGTTTCTTTCAAAGATTTTTTTTTTAAATTTTATTTTTTTTATTTTTTAAAATAAAGGCAGCTTACTCTCATCTGCAAAGCCAGGGCAAAATTGGTGAAAGGGGCAGCTATGTTCAGCACTGCCTTTCTTTGTGGAGATATCAAAAGACAGGATTAGAATTGCTCTAGCCTGGTGTTAACATCCATTTTGTCCTCATTTAAAGCACTGTCATATTATGGGGTAGTTCAGACAAGAGAAGGCGACTGCTGCAAAGGATGAGTTTTATTTTTAGTTAAAGACAGTGGCAGATGGTTCCCTCAGCGCAGCCGGCGGGCTGAAGATCTGGTGATGGGAGTTGTTTTGGTGGGGGTTTCCTCCTCTCTTAATTCTGCCAATAGCTCTAAAGAGAGTAAAATGTGTCAATAACCAGCACTCCACTGCCTTGAACAGAGAAATCTCCAGGCAACCTCCCCAGTGCTCTGCAGCCCATTACCAAAGGAACATCCCTGTTGGGCCAAATCTCTAGTCCTCCCCTTTCACCTTTCAAGGGCACAAGCAGGATGCCTTACCGTCCCCAGAGCTGTTCTCCTCGTCACTAGAGAAGGTGATCACAGCTTTTTTGCGTGGACGGCGCTTTTGGGTGCGCTTCTGGTTTCGGAGGGTGTGAGACTTGGGTGTGACAAAATCTTCATCATCCCTGTTGGCTGGGCTCAGGGGCTGATGGCGCGAACCTGTCAAGAAAAAGGAAGGAAAAAAAAAAAAAAAAAGAGAGGTAGCAGCCATTCTCTCTGGAAGGGTAAGGAAAAATCCCTAGGTGTCTCTGCTGGACTGCAGGATCACAGGGAAGGCTGCAGCCTCACAAAAGGAACATACTTCTTATTGGTTTCTGCTTGGCTGGCACTGACACTGGAATCTGACTGCCTTCCTGGCACGTCTCTGTTGAATCCATCCCTCGGTTACGGAAGGCAGACAGCTTCTGCTCCAGCTCTTCAGCTAGAGCCTGATGGAGATGTAAAACAGTGCAGGGGGGGAAGAAAAAAGAAGGTGAGGGGAGAGAAATATTACATCCATACCAGAATTGCCATCAAGTTAAATAAATAAATTGATAAATTGTTAGGAGTGAGTAGTAGTTTGTTAAAATGGAAAGCTGCAAGGTTTTCCAATCAATACATGAAAAAGCAATCGCTTTTCTGGCCTGGACACTTGTCCCCCATCCTTACTTTAGCCTCAGGTTTGACACCTGCTCTGTGGAATCGAGCCAGCACAGTTTGGAAGCAACTGTAGACAGCTTGATCTTGGAGCTTATCTGCAAAGCAGTCAAAGTTGTCCTGCAGCTTGTGAAGGCCCCCTTCTGAGATTGGAAGCAGAGTAAGGCAGTGGGACAGATCCCGGTATTGACGCTCCGTTCTGAGAAAGACAAAGACTGCCATTAGCTCTTACAAAAAGGGGTGTGTGAGGGTGAGCACATCTCACCTAGAACTACAGGTGCTTCTGCCTTGCAGAACATGAGATTTGGGTTGTTCTGTTACAGGTCAGTGACAGGGTGCTGTGCCATAACACACACAACCACCACTGCATTCCAAAGACACTGCATTAGTGTCTGTCAGAAAAACATGAAGGCTCCACTGCTGAAGAACACAGTCACTTGTTTAAAAAGTATCAGAAGTTATTGCTGACTAGGAAGAAAAGATGACTCAGTGAGGTCAGGACTCCTCTTGAAGGACCTTATTTCAACTGAATAATAAAAAAACCCTGGCTGCTCATTTTTGCATGTTTGAGATGATCTCAAGCAGAAGCTGTATTTGATGTTCTCTCTCTCTCTCTTCCTGGCCAGAAAGGGACATAAAGAAGGTCATATTCATTAAGTTATAAAGTCAACAAATAACAACTGCTTTATCAAAGAACGAGTACATTCAAATTCCAGCAAAAGTTACAGGAAAAAAAACAAGGAGAAAAAACCCAAAAGCACAAACTATTAATGTAGCTCACTGTGATGGAATGGGATGGGAAAAAAACGTGGCCAAAGCCCCTATTATTAATATATACAAAGCAGAGGGCCTGAAGTCTGTCCTGTATCTGCTCTCTGAGAATGCTCAAACCCAAACAGATGGAGAACAAAGCTGAAGCAACCAGGTATTTCCATCTTTAAAGTGTGAATGATACTTGGCAAGTTGCTATGTTTGGGACTCCAATGCTGAGGAGGGTGATAGTAGCTGCAAAATCTTCTCTGATAAGCTCCTGTTTTAACCTGGAGCGAGAGTCTTCCTTTGGCATTACCACTAGTGCTCATCAAGCTGATCATCTTTGTGGTACAGAAATATCAGGACATTTTACTTCAGGCTAGACACAACTTACACAAAGATAGTTATTTACAAATGTTGTGTGAAGAGCTCACCAGTGTTCCTGGGAGGCAACCTGGGAGAGAGGGACCACTTTCCACTCCAGCTCAGGAAACAAAATCCAAATATTTTGGGAAATATGCAACTCCCTGAGGCAGCTGAGTGGGTCACGTGCCCAGGCACTGTGTACAAATGGCCAAGATAAGCAGACACAGCTTAAATCTCAAGGGCAAAGCCGCAACAATGGGGAAGGAAAACCCACAGGAATGGAGGAAGGCAGGGTGCACCAAAACCAGTGGAAGTTAAAATGAAGATATCATTGGGAAGTACATGACAGGGAGGCAAATAAATTTCTGTTACCTTTCTTCTTGGGGAAAAAAAAAAAAAAAAAAAAAGCATGGGGAACAGGCAAAAAGAAGCAAAAAACTCTAAAACCTAAAAAGCAAAATGACATCCCAGATTCATGGGGTGGGTGTTGCACTTAAGAAAGGAGGGAAGAGGGGCCAATCACTGCCTTAATTTATGTATTTTTAGGAGGAGCATGGAGAACAGGCAAAAGAAGTAAAAACTTCTAGAACCATAAAAGCAAAATGACATCCCAGATTCATGGGGTGGGTGTTGCACTTAAGAAAGGAGGGAAGAGGGGCCAATCACTGCCTTAATTTATACATATTTATTCATGTATTTTTAGGAGGAAGGTAGTTAAAAACCCAGGACCTAATCCAGGTTATGTCAGCATCTGTCACTTTGCCACGTGAAGATTAGGACAGGAACCTGTTGCAACTATCACACACAAGCTTGTTTCCTCTAACAATTCCTAAGAAGCAAAAGTGCTTGTCAGGAAAATTAAGACTACAACCCAACCTGGCAGTCCGGAATCTCTGACAAAGTTTCTCCACCAAGCGCTCTGTCTGTTTGTCTTTCGTAATATATGAGAAGAGATGCCTGCAAGGGAAAAAAAAAAAAAAAAAGGCAAAGTTGAGAGCCCAGAGAGGAAGCCCCATTTCAGGTAGGAGGGGTGCTGAAAAGGTGGCAGTGCTGACTTCCTTCCATCCAGTTTTAAGAGCAGGGAACACTTTCAGATGATCTCCTCACTTCACAGGTTTCACTGACAGACTAGTATGTCTGAGAAGCAGACCGTGAGGGGAGCAGTGAGGCATGCAGTATTTTTTCCCTCCTTCAAAACCATTCTTGTGACTTTTGCATTATTAATTTGCTGAAAGCCTGTTACATTTTGGATCAATGCAAAAGTGAGCATTACTTGGCACTAAAATGGGAACAAAGCCTAGCAGAAGTTAAATGCTAATGTAATCCCATTCTTTCTTAGCTTCTTGAGGAATAGAGAGACCTGGACTTTCACACAGCTAAGTACTTGTGCATTTTGCACTATGTTGTCATAGAAATCACTGAATAACTTCTATTTATTAAGAAGGTCCTGCTGTCCTTCATTTTTCTTGTATCAACATTTCTGTTAACTTAAGCTCAGTCAGGTTGCCACTGGCCTTGATATAATTGCTCTAAAGCACCTCCTTGCTCAGTTTTTGTTATGTCTACAGCATTCACACCAAACTACTTGTTTTTCCAAGATACAGAACAGAGACAGCATTCTCGAGAGTCCTCCCTTTGCAGTTGTTCCAGCATCAATTCATCGTTAACTTAAGTGACCAGAACCATGGCAGCACTCCAGGCAAGGTCTCACCAGCACTACCAATGCTTCCCTATACCAGAAAAAAACTTGACTGCTAAAGCAGGAAGTGGAATGTATCTCTTAACTTGAGCCATAGCTTTATAGAAGAGATTAAACAACTTTTAAATGTTCAACCTTATGCTTGTTATGCTAGTTTTCATCTCAGTTATTACCACTGTAACTCTCTCACTCTTCAAGTTAGTCCTTTAACACTGATGGTCCCCCCACCCTCCACCATAATTTTTTACACCTCCCTATTCTCCAGTTTGGCAATTATCTCTGGAACATAAGACACTGCTTCATTCCTAGCCTCTGCTTTTGTCCACCATGGTTTCCAAGTTAAACCAGATCTTCTTCACTTTGGAAGGATTTCATATAGTGCTACGTGGGGAAATAGCTCAGTTTCAACTACTATTCCCTTCTTGACCCATTTAAAGAATATTATGTGGTGTGGTAACTGATGATCAGGTCTTCTTGAAAATTATTTAGACCAATTCGATACCTGTCTACTTTGTTAAATCAATATTGCCTTTTCTCTCATTTGCCTCATACATCCAGTTCTCTCCTTGTATGTTGCTGGAAGCCAGAGAAGTCCATCTATAGCTTTCTTAACCCCACTAATCACACTTTAATGTGAGTGCTATACTTATTCTCTAAGTCTGTCGTAACACCTCCAGTTTGATATTTATTTAAAATGGTACTGAAAATTCCAATATTGTTTGGGTTTTTCTGCATGCTGTCTCTTGTCTCTCTATGATGGTTTGCTTTGACTTCAGACATTAACTTCCACTTCTACACATGCTGTCAGAAGACACATGCTGTATTTCCCAGTATTTCACATTATCCTCCTTAATGAAATCTGAAGCAAAATATCCATCTACTTTTGCCGCCATAAATTATCTTCAGTCTCAATTTCAGCCTCAGTATTAGGCTTTTCTGTGTTTTGCAGTTCCTACCTGTCCAAAATCCCATCCCTCTTCCTAAATGCACTGGATTCTCACAGATAGAAAGCCTAGCTGAAAAATCACAGGAGATTTTATTGTTCTTCTCTTCAGCAATAGCAATACTTTTGTCCAATACTCCCCTCTGTAATCCATAGGGATTCAAGCAACTCAGAAAACCTGCCATGTGGTTAAGTTTCAGACATAAGAGGAAAATTTCTGTACTTTACTAATAAAGACATTATTTGTGTTGTCTATAAGCAACCAATAACCTCAGATTGAAACATTCCAATGTCTCTATACTAGAGTAAGGCTTTCTTGAAAAAAACCAACCAAACAACAAAACACAAACCACCAAAAAAACCACCCCAGACCCAAACCTGTAGTTATAGTTACTACTAACTACAGCTTTACTAAAACTACTTACAAAAATCCATTAGGCCACCAACATGACAAATGCAGTAGAGTCTTTAAAACCTATTGTGTTCTCCCAATGTTGCATATCCATATTCCCACGAATAAACCTAACTATTTTCCTTTTCTATAGGGAAAGTAATTTTGAGTTAGTGATAACTCTTTGCAGAGTCTCCCCTCACCCCTAACTATGTGGCTTTAGAATCAATTCCCCTCAGCATGAATCCATTTCAAATACAGACTGAAAAAGCCCGATCAAGGAGAACAACTGAAAAAGCACTTTGTATACATCACTGTAGTTTTTCTTCCCTGGATCCCCCTTTGCATAAACATAGTCCTGGTCCTAAGAGATTTATTTAGCCTCAGAATACCTCATAATAGTGTGGAAGGATTCCTCCTCTGTGCTGCAGTTAGGATTGGAGAGATGACTGATTATGTCTGGAAGCAGGTTATAGATGGCATTATCCTGCGCAGAACACAAGTTTCTACATGAGATACAGAATTATAAAGGATACCTTGAGTCAAGCCAATTAAGCTGCCCACTTAAAATTACTTCCTTTTCCCCCATCCTCAATCTACTGACAGAAAACCAGCTTCTTGAAACAAGCTGTACACAGCCAGCCAAACCTATCCAGGACTACTTGGCTGAAGCTAAGGGGGAAAAAACCCAGCCAACCAACAAGCTGTAACTGCAACCCAGCTCTGCTCTTTGGCAGACTTGGATGCAGTTTCTTTGCTTTCCAACCTTGTCAGAACCCAATGAAAAATGCCTCCTGATAAAAGAAACAGCATTGCAGCTCAAGGAACTGCTTCCCATCTTGCCTGAAAAGGTCTAGCCCACATTCACTTTCCCAGTGCTTTTGCATAGTTTTGTCATACACACTGCAGAGATAGCAAGTCAGCACAGTCAGGTGGCTGGCTCTGCTTTAACGGAGCAAACGAAGACAGAAAAGCCCCAGTGTCACTGCAGCCTCTCAGGCAGTAAATTTCGAACTCTGAAGGGCCTGTGTGAGGCTACACTTTGAATGAACAGGGGGTAACCTGTACTGTTCTTACCTGCAGTAAGAAAAGTTTTACTTGGGCTAAAACTGCTTCAGTTTAAGTATCTCAATGTCACACAGCCAAGAACAACTTGGAAAGGTTTCAGAGAAGGTGCCTGAGTCATAAAGTCAGGGAACTCTGCTGTAAGGCCTAAAGGTAAGCTGCAGAAAACTGTTCCAAACCCTGTTCTAGGCATACACAAGAAAGCAAAGGGACACAGCACTGTTTTAGAGCCTGCCTTCCAGTGTGAATGGATGAGATCAAATTCAGCAACATCAGGAAAAACTTGTATTGCAAAGTTTCTTTTAGGTACTCTTATTTGGGCAACACAGAAGGACAGACCTACACCACTAACACACCTCTCCAGGACTCATGTCATTCATTGATCCAACCTCCCACAGCCCTTCCCTGCTCTTGTGAAGTAAGGTCCCTGATCATCCACTTGCCTTGTTGGAGAGTTCGCTGAAGAAGTTCTGAGCCACTCCCACGATTGCCTCGTCTGGGTCTACCAGCAGAGCTGCCATTTCGCTCACTTGGCCCTTTACCTTCACCATGTCTTTGAGGATGAGCTGAGTCATCACGAGTGCAGCTGTCTGCCTCACACTTGGGCAGGGGTCCTGCAACCTGACAGAAACAAAGAGTTAGTGCAGGAAGCAGCAGAATGAGTGTCTCTAAGTTACGGATAGTCCTGACAGCCTATTCCATAGCCAGGCCTGTTGTCTTCCTGCACCATCTTCAAATTTGGTTTCCAGGGTCATTCTTGCCTTCTGGAGGTCCAGTGTCACCCTTCCACAGAGTTTTCATTACCTGTCCTCTCCCAACAATGAGTGTAGCATTACCTGGCATAGAGATGTGATGTCCATGGCTCCACCAGGTTGGGGAAGCGGATGGCCAGATCTCCTGCTGCAATAATGAGGTTGGATCTCACACCAGGCAGAGTGGACTTCTCCATCATCGTGAACAGCAGACGCAAGTGGGTGTCACAGAACTCAGAGCTGAAAAGATAGGGTACAGGAAAGTAGGGGTAGATACCAAAATTCTGTCTCTCAGAGAGCAGAGAATTAAAAACAGTTAAAGGAAAAAGTAATTTATGAACACTTCTGTGTTTGTTCTTTATTTGGAAAAGGAATTGCAACATTTGCTTGTGCTCAGTACTAGGAAAGCTGGGAAAGGAACTCTGGCATGGCTCGGTGGTACCTGATCATGCAGAGTTTGCCAAGAGTTAGGGCTGCAGCAGCTGACAGTGCTGAATCGCTGTAGCGTCCAGGGTTGCTGCAGATCTTGAGCACCAGTGGAACAAAGGCAGAGAGCAGGTGCTTCCCTAGAGAGTGGGGTTAAAGACAGTGAGTATGAGAGCACTCTTTGTGTATCCCACTTTAAAAACAATTACTCAATTTATCCCAGAACTGCTGCAAACTTCAGTAACTGGCTGACTCACTTTCACCACAAACAACCACCTCCACAGAGGCAAAGCAAAGGAACAGCCTACATGGAAACTGACACCAGGCCAAAAACGACTGTTTCCTTCAGAAGAAAACAGCCTTCCTCCTTCAGGATACCCACCATATCTGTTCTTTCACACAGGCAGACAGAGCCAGTGCTCCTTGGTGGAAGCCACACTTACCATCTAGAAGTTCTGTCTCACAAATATTGCAGATAAGCTCGGCCTCAGTGTCATCGGCCGTGGCTGCCATGAGGCCCAGCTCCTCCTCCATAGTGGTCTCGTTTCCTGTGGTCTGTGCAGAAAGGAAGGTTGTAAAAAGATGTCAGGCAACAATAACCCCTTTCTTCACAAAGTTCTCTTCTCTCAAGTGTGAGGTATATGCATATTACCAGCCACACAACTAGAATGGAGAACAGACTGATGGAGATTTTATAACCCACTTTTCCCCCAAGAACTCAGTGAAGTTGTGAAGGGCAGTCCAGCATTTGCCAGTCCACATGCCACAGAACACTAACCACAGAATCACATAGTAATGCTGGAAGGGATCACAGCGGGTCATCTGGTCCAACCTCCTTCCTCAAGCAGGATCATCCTAAAGCATATGGAACAGGATTGCAGCCAGACGGTTCTGGAACATCTCCAGTGAGGGGAGACTCCACAACCTCTCTGGGCAATCTGTACCAATATTAAGTCACTTGCACAGTAAAGTTCTTCTGTATGTTTAGATGGAACTTCCTGTGTATCAGTTTCTGCCGGTTGCCTCTCTTACTAGTGGTTGGCACCACCAAGAAGAGCCTGGCTCCATCCTCTTGACACCCTCCCATCAGACACTTAGAGACATGGATAAGGTCCCCTCTCAGTCTCGAGGCTAAAGAGGCCCAGCTCTCTCAGCCTTTCCTCATAAGAGAGATGCTCCAGGTCCTTAATCAACTTGGGTGTTCACTGCTGGACCTGCTCCAGGAGCTCCATGTCTTTCTTTTACTGAGGGGTCCAGAATGTAAAGAAAGCTTAAGCTACCAACGCTACTAAGATGAGACAGACTTAGGACACATCTGGCATCAATGTGGGAGTCCTGTACAACTTGAGGGACGTTCAAATCCTAAATGCAAGAAATTCAAAGCAGCCTTTACATTGTTGGTCTCATGAGTAAGATTATGGGAAACCTTTTAATAGCAAGGCAAAAGTAACACAAAGGAAGAAAAGAGACATGGGTGTTGCAGTGGGGACCAAATCTGTATCCAACTGCTGCTTCTTGGAAAATCTCATAGTAACCTCCTCCTGTGTGGAAAATGGTAGTGACATGATAAGCAGGATGAGGAAATGAACTGTAGAGTTCTCTGGGCATAGCAGTAAGCATCTAATAGAGACTGGATACCTAGGGACACACAACATTTTTCTCTATTCTTACCCAAGAAAGTCAGCCTCATTACACTCTGGAAAATGTTCCAAGGTAGACCTAACCAAGCAGGGTATTTCTATCACACAGATCCTGTTAAGAAGGCTCCTATTAAGCCTTCATAATTACACCTAAGAGAACTAGACTCGACCCTCAAGTTTCTGGATCAGGGTTCCAGAACTCGGGGCACAAATGGATGTTCTTCTAGCAGCAATTGCAAAAGATTGCACTGGTAAGAAAAGAGGTGATGATTGAAAAGGAAATGTTCACCTAAAGTAGGAAGATAAGCATGGCCAGGACTTCACCCTTCATTCCCTCCCCTCTGCCTCTCCAAAACCCAAGACCAGTGTGAGAGTTTTACTGAATAGGGTCACTCAAGGACCTCAGCTCTCCCTGTCAACCCTGACCAACACTTGTCTGTTTCTACTGCCAAAGTACACATTACCTTGGACCTTGTGCAACCTTAGTAGTGCATTCCCCAGGAGTCAGCTGTAGCTGGGACACTACAAGAGCTGCTCAGGAAAAAAACCCTTGGTTCTCACCTGGGATCTCCGCTTCTGTTTGCTGCTGTCAGAACGCTTCTTGGTCTTCTCCTCTTTAAGGACACGGCGTCTGCCTAGCTCTGCACTCACTGACACTTCCAAATGTGCTACCTGCTGCATTGCCACTTGTCCCACAAGGGACACCAGGTGCACCAACATGAACGTGGGGAGACTGGCAGCACCAGCAGAGTCTCTGCTGGGAGAATCCCTTGGATCTAAAGGAGAAAAATTACTACAGTTCAGTGTTTATCTAGACCTCTTCCCCATTAGTTACTGACAAGTCTCACTGTATAGCCCATCTCCACGTTCCACAGACTCCTTCACAGAACTTGCACCCTTCCATGCCAGCACCTCCACTAGCCCCTCAGCTCTATTCTTCAGCAGTTACTTTAGGCTACCTAATTTCATCACTGGAAACCATAGTTACAGATTTCCTTTATCAGCTTTTTTTCTCACCAGAGTTCTGCCCATCAGCCTCCTGCAGCTTCTCCAGAGCTTGCTGACTGCACACTTGCAGGATGTGGGCACATATCTCATCTGGCCCTTCTGCCAGCTGGTAGATGAGTGTTACTGCTGTATCCATGAAGGGGATCCAGTGAGTACTTGGCTGGGCAAAGCCTGAGGAGAAGAGGGAGCAATGTACCACATATACCAGTGACAACAGAGGCAGCCCAACCTTATCTCCTCCAAACCTGCTGCTGACTTGAGCTCACCTTTACTCATAGTCTCACTCAGGCAACCAAAGAGCATGTGATTCTGTGAGAGTCGAAAAGGTGCACTGTTCTTCTCCATTGCTGGCTGCAGAGAGAATAGATGAGTTACTCACATAAGAACAGCATGTGAGATTCCCCCCATGCCCTCCCCAGTACTTAATCTTGCTGTGTGCATAATGCTAATCAAACCCATGCTAGGCCCTTGGCAGGGACACCCAGTACTGCTCTGCAACTAAACACAGAGCAGGGACATTACTGTTACTTTTGAAGGCACAGTGACAGCAGTGCATGGATTTAAAGCTTGGCCAAATGATGATCCCAGGCCAACCCAGACAGTTCCACTCTTTCATCTTAAATCAAAATAACTCTTTTGAAATCTCAAAAGGATTCTTTTAAAATTGGATATTATTGACTCTTTCTCCACAATGAATGAAGAGGGAAACCTTTAGAGCATCTTCAGAGTCATCAACAGTAAGCCAACTAGAAAACCCTTGCCTAGGGGTAGTCCAGAACCATAAGGTTTTGTTTAAAAGCAAAATACCATCAGAAGAAATAACAGAGGATAAGTCTGAATCCAAGACCATCTCACACTTAGGCTGTTGCATATACCCTGTATCAATCCCACCCTATTTTAGGTTGGGCATAAGATAACCTAGAGAACTACTAAACCGACTGTGACAGTACCCAAGATGTCCCAGCACATCTGCATCCACCTGATGAAGACAGACTTGACCAAAACAGAGGGTTTACCAGCTTTCAGTAGCTGGAAACAAAAATTATCAATTCACCACAATCTGTCCTCTGTACTGAATTTCTGGTTGGGAGGGTGGGTAGGGGGAGAGAGGAAGAGCTACTACAGTCAGTCAAGTATTTTTAGTTCTGTCCCTTCTCACATACAAACTTAGCTGTAGACTTCAGTCAACCTAAAATTGAATTACATCCAATTACAGAACATTTAGGAATGTTGTGATACACATTAATTCATGAAGTTCCTGCAGCAACATCCCCAGCAGAAGGGGTAAACACAGAATGATGGTGCTGTGTGAAGGAGGGCTGCTTTTATGACAGAACTCCTGAACCAAAATGCCCCAAATGCTTGAGTCAAAAAAAACAAAGAGAGGGTTTTTTCCCCGAGTGCATTAAAAAAAAAAAAAAGAAAAATTGTTTCCCAGGCAAAGAAGCCATCAACCATCATGTTGTTCTAAGTACAACATGGACAGGTTTGAAAACCTTTCATGTTTTATATTCTGCTGTACAGCTGACAACTCCTGAATATCAATTAATAGGGAGGGCAAAAGAATCACACCACCAGCAAACATCAGCAGAGGAAAGGGCTTCATGGTTGAGAAAACACAAATCAGTTTAGAACTGGGAGTCTGAAGAAGAGAATTGAAAGGAAAACATATTTTCTTGTGCACTGAACTCTTTACTAATTGAATTCAGCCTGTTGCCTAATGAAAATTCTTTTATTACATGTTCACTGATGTGTGCTAAGCTTTCCAGACAGTGCTGCTGAATGGTCTCAACCTACTTAATTTCAAAATCCGTAAAAATTTAATTACTTCTCTCTCCTCTCAGTACAAACCATCTCCCCCCTCCCTTCTTTGTTTCTGGATGACCTCAAGAACAAATCAAGGGTTTCACCTTAGGGTCACTGGCAAGTTTGGAGATAACATTGCATACTTCTTGAGCCAGGCGATAGTCTTCACACGCCTTCTCAGACAACCCCACTGTTATCAAGATGTCCAGGTTGCTACCTATGATCTCTGGATTCCCTCTGTGGAATGGAAGGGATGGGGGCATTACTTGAGGTGCTGCTGAAAGTTTACAGAGGTATGGATAACCAAGATAAATACTTCTTGTGCCTTCTGGAAGGCAGTGGTTTGAGTAACAGGGAAAAGAAAAGAAAACCCATCCAACGGCTCAAGATATAGATATAGGAAGAGTAAACAATATTCCACAAAAGCCAGTATAATCCATACTCTGCTAAGAGATGTTGTTCTCCAAAGTGATCAACACTGGGTAGAGCCTCTTTGTAAAGGAAGAAGGTTCTTGACTCTTCTTTCTTATCAGGAAAGAGCAAAAACTTATAAGGGTAAGACAAAGAAAAATGTTGCAAAATAGAAAAGAGCCCAAGAGCACCAGCCCAGGACTGGTGACATGTGCCATTTTCTCCCCTACTGTGGGAAACAAAGTAAAACAATAACATCATCCAAAAAATCCCCCCAAACCCCACACCCACCCATTCCCCTTTCTGCTTGTGAAAGAACTTTAGGATCATCATTATGCAGGCCTATTTTTGACTGATGAAGAACTGAGGTAGGGACAGCAAGAAGCAATCAGCAGGTAAGTTGAATGCCAAAGGGTTACCGGGCTGGGAAACAGAGGAAATGAAAACCTTATATGCAGATACATTCTTTTTGCTCCCAGAAAGTGAAACAAATTCATTTCCCTTCATGCTGAAAGCTCCAGACATCTCTACTCAGCAGCTTCTCGCTGTTCTTATTCAAACACAGACAAAGCTGCAGAGCTGTGACACAGTAAACTCTGAGAAGGGATGGACATTCAGAACACAAGGAAAATAATGTCATACTCATTCAGAGGCTGCGCTGGTGAGACCCAGCACAACTATGTTCAGTTCCAGGCTTCATTACCCCCTGATAGGGTTGCTATTTTTGAAGTTACAAAACAAAAAGGTCAGCTGATGCAGCATCCACAGTTCTTCAATAAAAATCGACTGCCTGTACATCCTCCCACTCACAGGACTCGACCTGGCCCCAGGCTCACCGTGCCATCATCCCCAGCAGCATCAGAGCAGCACGTCGTTCCAGCGACGAGCACTTAGATTTTTCCGTGAATTGCTCCCAAAGCAGCTGGATCACAGCAGGCTTTATTTCATCTTTTCGCACAAACTCTGAGATCTGTAAAAGAAATGCAATTAAAAAACTGGGGAGAGGCAGAGGAGGATGGACTTCAAACCAAAGACATTAACTGCAGCGACTACTGTTTCAACATAAAAGACATCTAGAATCACAAATACGGTCCAAACACAGGCAAGGCAGATACTCACTATCTCTTCTAAGCACCGTATCGTTTCTAGTGATGCATCCACCATGATGAGAGAGAGAGAACGCACCAGGCTCTGGGCCTTGGCCCTTTGAAAAGGGAAAAATAATAATAATAAAAGAAATTAAAAGGTAAAGGAAAAGTGATTGTCACAATTACTATCCTATTAGAGAGCTGAGAACATCCATTAGATAACAGAGCTAATCCCTGGGAAAAGGAAAACTTTCCTCACCACAAGCTTGAGTATTCCTAGCCACCCAGCTCAAGTGCCAAGGAGCATGACACGGGCTCAAAAGTCTATTGCTTTGTGCACCGATGTTCCTCCTGGTGCTCAAAGACCCAGCCAGAGGCACTCAGCAGCCACTTCCCAGTTTACTCTCCACCACAAGTCAAAGCATGATTCCCTAGACCATAAGAAACTGAGATCAATCTCTCTATGAACAATTAAGGCCAGAGTTCAAACTGCAGGAGAGTTGTCTCCAGGTAATACTGTCAAGAAGAAATAAGAATCAGTGAGTGCTTTATATTGCCCTGAGGTACAAATGAGGGTGAGGTATGGTGCATCTCACCAGGGATCATACTTAACTTATTGCACGTTTATCCAACAGGATTTAGAAGTGGGCATGTGCTAAAAAAACGGGCAAGTGCCAGAGTAGAGAAAAGTGGTACCCAGCTCCCACCCCCAAATCCTCAAAAAGGATAAACAACAAAGGCCCCTTAACATCCTTTCATCTACACACATAGAAATTTGTTATAAAAAGATTTAAGATCATTTTGACCGAAATACAAATAGAAGTCTGTGTGAAAGCACCCAAATGATAATAACAACTAACCCTCAGTAGTGGGAGGAATAAAAAAAAATGGTGTATTATTGAAAACCAAGGACATAACAAGGACATCAAGACCCCCAGCAAACCCTGAGGAATGTGATGTGTACATCAGAAGCAGAATGCCTACTCGGATAAGGCCATGGGATGCATGACTTGCCAGCAAAAAGACTTGAGCTCTGGTAACAGAAATATAGCTCCAACTTCAGACTACACTGTATACCATTCCTCTTATTATCGCAATAGGATGAGCAAACTAAAGTTATAAGAATGCTCAAAATGGGGAAACAAACACTGGCCAACAACTTTGCCCACAGAGGGTGAAGTATACAAGACTCTTGGACACGGGATGACTCCATAACAGCAGCTGACTCTCAAAGGGTTGAAACAGCCATTCAAAAAAATTAGTTAATTGTTGCCAATCAAGAACCTGTCTGGCAAAAGAAACATTCACAACTGACACCCCTTGTTCCCTATCACATAGGGACCCTTCCCAGATAATTTGGGTATATGTATCTTGGGCAGTGCTTTGTATGAGAGTGAAATTTATGAGAACAAGTGTGAGTGCCTGATAACAGTTTAAATTAAATTAATTTTTAGCATCTCCTTCCATAAGCTCTCACACGGAGTTTTTCTGCATGAATTTCCTACAAACACTACGACCATCCAAGAGCAGAAGCTCAGCAGTATGTCCTGCAGGAAGGCTGGGATACCCAAATATACAACCTTTTAGTTCCCTTCCTGTCCATACACCATTCCTAACAGCAGAAGGGGGGCGGAGGGGGTAGGAAGAAGAAATAAAACCTCAAAACAAACCCAAATATCTTCTGCTTAGGAAGGCCCATACCTCTCAGAATCCTCACTGGGGTTCAGATAGAGTTGCCTGTAGGCGTTCAGCACAGCCTCCTTAATGCCAGGCTCCTTTGACCATATGAGGGGGAGCATCCTGCGGACTCCAAGCAGTGCCTCGGGCACATTAAACTGTGAGACCGTCACAAAGAACTCAATGGCTTCCTGCACCACTGCAGAGGGAACAGTTTCATTAGTACAGTTCTTTCTCAATTCCCATTAGAGAGGCCATTCAAACAAATTCACAGGGGTACTCTCTCACAGCAAACTCTACGAGCATCTAAAGATCACTGCTAATGTCTGCAGAGGGCTCAAGTCAGAATGGGATCACTAGAACCCAGATGTAGATGTCCCAGAGAAAACAGATACAGGATAACAAAATCACAGCTAAATCCAGTGTTATATGTTTAGGAAAATGCCTGAAAAAGAAAAAAAATTCTCTTCTGGGAAACTGTAGTTTTGGGGAAAAAAAAAAGTCTCACAGTCACAGCAGACAACAGCTGAATGTAAGTCCCAGTGCAATATTATAACCAGAATAACTAAGCTATCTGATGTCCAAATGGGCTCTGGAATGATGCACTTGGTTCCAGCTTGACTACTCCTGAAATAACTGCCCAGTCTCCTGCTTGTAAAACAAGAAAAAACATTAAGTAAGCCAGCATTCCCAAGAGAGCCAAGGCAGCCATCAAAGAAGCTGTACAACAAACAGTTCATAGTCTGACCTCTGGTTAAGTAGGAGCTTTTACCAGTATAAGCCCCAATTTCCAAATCTGAATTAAGAACATCTATCAGAAAAGCTGGTATGCTTTCCCTGCCTCCAGTCACACCAGGAGGTATAAATTTGCAGCAGAAAAAAAAATTAAATCTTTAAATATTAAATTTTTAATTACAAAAAGCTAAATCCCTTAGTATCAGCCCCTCATCCAGCAGTGTACTCTCTCCACATGGAGAAAACATCTCAAAACATCTCCACTGTCCAGATACTGAATTTGCCTTCCTTACACTGCATCACAGGACAACAGGGACATGGAAAGTTAGTAAAGTCTGCACAGTCAAAAAAAAAAAAAAAAAACACAACCAAAACCCAGGTGTTTAAGTATCAGGTAGGGGCACTCTCTTGGCCTTGAAATTCAAATGACCTGTAAAGATACTGAACTCAGGAGTTCATTTTTGTGTGTGCAAATAGCTAATGACATCAAACCTTTCTGGGGAAGCCCACATGCTTATCACAAGTAACATATGAGTCCTTAACACAGATGAAGCCTCAGAAGTGTTTCCTTGAAGCCAGGGCACTGTTGCACCAGATCCATCTTATTCCAGATCTGTGCAAGTGGATGTGCTGGAGAGGATGGGAGAGGGAGTCGTGCCCCTCTGTACGCCAGCTCCCTTGGAAATGCCAATTCATGATAAACACTTCAAAAAAAGTCTAAATGGTTACAGTAGTTCTAATTTTAATATGAACACCTGAATTAACTCAAAGGCTGACTCATCACCACCTTTCACTACAGCACTGAAGAGGACCAGGCTACAGCTCATGTTTAGCTATAGAATAAAGTTTGAGGAAAGGTGAGATGGATGAGACCAGCTGCTCAGTTCCCCTCTTGTGGCCAGCATAACACCTGAAGCTGTATCAGGGTACTGAGCACATAACAAAGTCCAGCTTCACTGGCCATGCTTACTTTGGGAGAACCTCAGCTGGGATGATGAACATACTTCCCTCCCCACAGGACGTAGGATGGCTTCCACTGGTAAAGGCATTTCTGTCACCTGGCTGGTGACCAATAAAATGGTTCAAAACCACTTTATTTCAAATGTTTTCAAAACCATTTTTTAAATAATTTTAAAAACATTTCCAACTTTGATATTTAAAAAACAGATTCCTAAAAAGCCCATGCATGCCCTATTAAGCCCCTTTCAGATACTCATTTAGATAGTGATTGCTTTTCCAATATCCTGGAAGTGCCTGTGACACCTGCTCAATGAAGAACAGTTCCTCCAATCTTTTCCCCTTTTCCTGGAGCTCCACCATTACATCTCTCCAGCAAGAGGAGAGATCTGGAAATGCTGAATGGGAAAAAAGCACCCCATGGTTATTTCACATACCTGAGACAGAGCTTTCATACATCAGCTTGCTGATCAGGTACAGAGCTTCTGTGATTTTCACTGAGAAGTTGTAAGCATCTTGCAGGTATTGCACCAACATCTCCTGTTTGACCAGCTCTGTTTGAGACTGCTTTTCTTTTACAACTTCTTTGGTCTTATGACTACTGTCGTCATTTCGAGGATCTTCACTGTTCTCTCCTGGGCATGAACCTGCACAGCACACTTGTTTGTGAACAACATTGAAGACACAAGAGAAATAAGCACAGTACAGGACATTTTAAACCCTTCTTTCCCCACCACATAGTGACACCTTCCACAAGCCAGGATATAAAAGTCCAAATTCTGCCATCAGATCTGACTACAAAATCTCAGCATGCTCTAGGGCAAGTTCCAGTACTACAGTGAGATGCTCCACAGACATGCCAGCTTCGTACAGGGATGCAGAAAGGCCCGGTCCAGCTGGTGTAAACTCCATTAAAATGCTGAAGGGGTTAATCTAAACTTGACAGCTCCCCAAAGATAGATGAGGCTCTAAAAGGGAAACAGGGCAGAGTAGGAAGAAGGCAAACACTACTACTCCCTAGCAAAGTTTGTGCAAGTGTGGGAAGTTGAAAAAGTTAAGAAGATTTTTAGACAGTAGACTTCTGATAGAAATGTAGTCAAGGGGATTGGCTAAGTAACCTTATGCTGAAACAAATATCAAACAAAGCACATCAAGTCTTGAAAATACACCCAGAGGCTCAAGCCCCGGATAAACAAGACTTTGCTTGAACTTGGTCAAGGCTAAGGGTAAGCATTATGTGCCACCACCTGTTCAAGAAGCAGAACTCCTGACTATTTCACACAGGACAGAATGGGTGTGAGGGGGTAAGGCTGGCTTTACTCCCCTCAGTAGATATCATATGAGGTAAAGCATCAGAAATGCATTTCTACTGGGAACATGGAACTGTTCTGACCAGAAATGAAGACCAATGTGATCCAGCCAAAACTAGATGAGTAAATGATCTAGAGATGGTGCAGCTCCATGAGCTGTCATATACACATAGAATGAGCCCCAGAGGTCAGGAGCAACAAGGCATTCCAGAGGGGTTTGGTCAAGTTCTGGCATCATCTTGGACTTAAGGAACAGACAGAACGATCTGAAATAGTTACCTGTGTAAAGTCTCCTCAGAACATCCAGGATTGTTGCCTCCTCATTTTCCTCCATGGGGCCACTGAAGGGTTCCTTCCCCTGGAAGCGACACAGGGCCTTCTGCGTAAGGTGGGCTGCACTCCTGGACAATGACATTGCCCAAGAGAAGAATATCAGCAACCCATCAGGGCAGAACACAAGGGAAACCTTCCAACTTTGCCCTGAACACTGGGGAAAGCAGCTCCTACCAGCATCTTCTGCCGGGTGGGTAGCCATGTCAACCTCTTCCTACAGATCAATGTTATTGGAAATCACCCCTCCACCCTGGAGCTCAAACCTTTCTTGAACAGAGAACATCCCTTGGCATAAACACTCTCAAACTGCAGAGCCTTCTTACTTGTAATTCAGCTTTCTCAGCAGCCCAGTGATTTGCTCCACTGCACTCTCCACTGTTTCCTCAACTTCCAGCACCTCCTCTTCCTTTTCCTGCTGTGGTTGAAAGAGCTGTTGTATGGCAGCCCTAACTTCTGGTAGCATCGCTTCCCACTCTTCCTCTGGAGTGATCACTGGAGCTATTTAAAAAACAGAATGAATGAAGAACTCAAAGACTCAAGTGACACCTTAAATGGGGAGAAAAACTCACCTGGAACTTAGGAATTCTATTTCCCCCACTCCCTCCCCCTGCAGGCACTATTTTCATAGCTGATTCCACCCAGACTACAGTAAGAACAAGACAAGAACTCTGGTATAAAAAAGAAATCACTGAAGGCAAAGAAAAAAAAAGGCAGGTAAGAGAGAATCATCATTTGTTTAGCCTTGGACTTGCAACTGCCTACAAATCAGGTTTAAATTAATATCTAACCAAAATTATGGCTCAAGCAGTCCTTGAGTGGTTGAAAATGGAAACCTGGGAAGGTGTTCATAGGCATTTTCAGTTCTTACCCTGAAAATAGGATATTTAGCTACAGGGACTGTTATTCTAGACATGGATATTACTATGATCCTTTTATAACATCACTATACAAAAACCTGTTCTGAGTTTGATCCCAGTTATCTGGTCTCACCATCTCACACAGCTAAGATCCGAGACAAAAGCCATCACAACCTGGGAGCAAATTTAAAATGAGGAAAAGTAAATTCTGGACTGCCCTGGAAAGAGGAAAAATGAAGAAAGGAAATTACCTGCTGTGGATCTGACACGGTCCCTCATTTCTTGCAGTTTCTGCACTTCTTTCTTCAGTGGCTTTTCAAAGTCAGCACAGTTTAGCTGAAGATGCCAGGAAGAGAAGAAGAAATATATTACTTTCCTTTTCTTTCTGAAATGCCAGAATTCTCCTTTCTATCCCACTCCCTGCTTTAGTGGTCAATCCCCATAGACAACCCTTTTTTGGGAAACTGGAATAGTAGACACTGGCCCCAATCCTGGAACAGGAACTGCTGCAAATTGCCAGTCTAAGGCTCAGAAACTCAGAAGGAGGTGCAGCTAAACAGAGAGCTGCAGCTCCATGCAGAATATTCTAAAAAAATAATTCTGATCCTAAGGAAAGAAACCCCACAGTGGATTCAAATAAAACTGCTGCGGGATTTTGCCTCGATCAAATACATCCCTCCTGGCCTTCAGTAAAGCTACCAGTTACACTAAGAAAGAGTAACTGGGACAACAAGCCTGAGACTACAGGATCTGAACGTGAGAAAACCAGAAAGCTCCCACCTGCATAGTCAAAAGCTATGCTGTCCCTCCCAGAAGACACAGAAAAGCTGCTCCCCAGGCTATAGCACTCAGTGCAGATACTTGGCCTGTAAACAGACACATGGCATATCCATCACACTAATCAGAATTACCTTGCAGGAGAAGGGGTTGTTGGACAAAAACGCAGCCAGGAGCTGGATTGCATTTTTAACTACTATGACAGATTTGTCATTGAGACGCCCAACAGCCAGTGATACCACAGACTGGAACTGAGTCAAAGGCAGGGCCTAGCACACAATGAGACAGACAAAGTTATCAAGGAGGCTTAGAGGTTTGGGAAAAGTTATTTTACTGAAGATGTATTCATACACCAAAAGGCACAGATTATAGATTTACAGAAAAGTCTAGGTCTGAAGGGATGTCTGGTATCTTCTGGTCCAGCCTCCACTGAAAGCAAGGACTTAGAGTCCTGTCGAGTCTAGTCTTAGCATATCTAGCAAGGGTGATGTTCTCCCATACCAGTGCCCAAAAAGAGGCTGCATACTGTGCTCTTTCTTCTAGTTTGTCCCAGTAATGAAGAGCACCATTTAATTTCTGCCCCCAGTTCCCTCACCCCTAGATGTTTGGTCTCATGGAAAAAAGGAACTGCAGACACCAGAGTACACAGGGACAATACCTTTCTCTATTAAAACTTTAGTCTCTGCAAACAAAAGAAAAGGCGGGGTGGCAGAAATTCCCTCAGAAAACACAACAGGGGAAGGGATGACTGAGGCAACACCTTTTCCCCAGCACGGACTTACCTTGCACTGAACGATTCGAGTGAAAAGCTGCAGCACGCGGCTGCGCACAAAGCTATGGACGTCACACATGTGGGCCTGCAGCAGACTCAGGAACTCGTCCCGAGTACCACGGGCAGCTTCGTCCAGCTCGTTACCATTCAGCACCTTCATCAGCGCTTCTGCCATAGCTGCCAGAATGGCATTTCGCATCATGTAACTCTGCAAAGAGTAGAGTTGTTGAACCAGGAACAGACAAAAAGACGTGACTTGATGTGCCAAGGGACAGCCCAGAGTTTGGGCCTACCAAGTCCCAGGCTCCAGCCTTAAGTGAGTTTTTTCATTATGGACATTATATTAAACTTGGATGAACAGAACTGTGCCTGCAAGACAGAGTAACCTCTCCTATGCAGACAGGCCAAGGGAGTTGATGTTGTTCAGACTGGAGAAGAGAAGACTCCAGGGAGACCTTATAGCACCTTCAGGTTCCTAAAGGGACTACAAGAAAGCTGGAGAGGGACTTTTTACAAGGGCAAGTAGCGATAAGACACAGGTGAATGGCTTCACACTAAAAGAGAGTAGGTTTAGATTGGATATTGGGAAGAAGTTCTTTACTGTGAGGGTAGTGAAATACTGGAACAGGTTGCCCATAGAAGCTGTGGATGCCCAGTCCCCAGAAGTGTTCGAGGTCAGGTTGGAAGAAGCCCTGAGCAACCTGGTCTAGTGGAAGGTGTCCCTGCCCACAGCAGGGGTTTGGAACTAGATGACTTTTATGGTCCCTTTCAATACAAACCACTCCCTGATTCTATTCCAACCCTGCTATCCAACTAGGTCCACAGAGGCCAAGAACTGACATGAGAAACACTTAGGATTTCTAAGGGCAGTTTAGAGAAGGTGACACAATGACAAACTTGTTAAATTCTGACGACCAAGAGACAACAGCTGGGAGCTCAGATCAGTAAGCAGTCTCCCATGCTCTGACATCCAACTATGACAACCAGGCAGTAGATGTCATGGTTTCTGTTTCCTTTGCATCATTTAGGCAAGGGAAGAACCTATTCCAAAGGACAGGTTTTGGCTACTTGAGCTCTGTAAAAGTGGTTCTGTTTTCAGACAGAAAAACTGGATAGCAGCACCTCCACCACTTGACTTCTCTGGACAGGTAACAATGCAGAAACATACCTCTCCATCCAAGTGGTGCAGGAGGACACTCATGTTGGATAGCACCAGAGCTGGAATCTGTCCGGCCAGTTCTGTTATAAAGGTAGAATAACCCTTGACTCCAGAAGCCTCACGAGCCAAATCCCGCGGACATTTCTGTCCAATTTCCCTGCAAAGAGAGATGAAACAAGGAGTGGGGTGCCTAAAGTTGCTAGGGGTAGAAGGACAAGCGTCAAAGTATTTCTCTCACCTTAGCAATTCACCCACCAGGCTTTTCAGACCATACTCTTCAGCCCAGAGGCTCACGGCCTGTGCAAACACTGGGGCTACATGTTCAAAGCACTGCAGCATCTGGGTGATCTTCAGAGTGGCACCTTTCACACGAGACAAGGAAGAAAGAGGTCAGGGAAAGTAGCTGGAAATGGCATCAGGAAGAAGGCAGAAGAGTAGGAACTCACCAAACATTTGACCACAGTGAATCAGAGCTCCAGCAAGCAGATGCATCACAGCCTCCCGTGTGGCACGATACCTCTGAAGACCGATACTGGGATTCTCCAGGATACGGTAGCAGCTTCCCATCATTAAGCTAAAGCCACAGAAGGCAGACAGCAAACCTATCACAACTAGAACCAACATCATTCTACCACACCACACTATGTAAACATTTCTATCAAACCAAAGAGATTTTCCAATATCCTTTAAAAATTAGCAAACAACATCTGAATTTTTGAGGAAAGCAAGTGGTCCCTATACACATTGATTTTGCCTCAAGCTGGTTTCTCCAGTTTACCAATGATCTGCACCCTCCAGACAACTGTAATACCACCTCATTGGTCGATTTAACATTTAACTCTCCCTTCCAGAGAACCAGTCACTCATCCCACCTCTACATCTGCTCCATCCCATACCTGACAAACTCTTCTTCCACTGATAAACCACCCCAAAGCTGACGGAGATCCAGCTGCAGCACCTGCGTAAGCAGCTGTAAGACTGGCTCCCTCTCCTCTTCCCACAAGGATCCAGAAGTCTTGGCATGGTTCTTCTTGTTCTAGAAAGGAGATTACACAATGTGATACACCAGCAGCTTGACAACAGAAAAAAATAAATCACCAACCTTCTTCCCTTGAAAATGTCTGTCTGTTAATTCTACAGCATTAAGAGACACACAGAGGTGATCACAGAATCACACAGATGCACAAGATCACAGAATCACACTGGACTTTCCCCAATTCTTCTCTCTCAGCTCAAGCTACCCCACTGTCCCATGCAGCTCACGGCTGGCACTCACAGGCACTCGGACCGAGGCCAGCAGTGGTGTCTCCCGTAGTGTAAGGACATACTTGCATCTGCTGCCTTCGTCTCTTCCCACAGAAAGGAACTCGTGAGAAAATACTGGCACATTAAGTACCAGCCAGACACTGAAGAGCAAAACAAAAAGGCCTGGGCATCTGAGTCCCTGCTGATGTTTAGACACTATTGTCCATTTGTTTTCCACATACAGTTTCACAGAAACACCAGCCCTCCACCTTATGCACTGCTCTTGCTGGCATCAGGCTTAAACAAACCCAGCTATAACATCTCAGAGATGTTCAGCAAGCTTAAAAATATTTCTGACTTTTATCATCTTGTTTTTCTCCCAGTCCCCTCACCTACCTTCCCACCACAACCTGCCTCCAACAAACTGTTCTTGCAGGTTTCTATTTCAAAGGCATCCATCAGGGAAGTCAGCAAGTAGCAGTTCATCTTAAGAGCATTGAGGTGAGCGGCACGGTCTGCATGGCTCAGCCCAGAGTCGCTCAGGATGCCGGGAAGTTCATTGGAATGATGGGACACCACTGAAGAGAGGTATAAAATCATGAGCACTCCTTGCCAGGCCCCTCAGCCATCCTCTCTTTAAGAAGCTTAGAGCAGTCATCAGATTACCAAAGATGTGTGCTCACATCTCACCAGCTGTAACACGGGCTGCCCCCTGCAACCCAAACCTTGGACACGCTGTCTTATCCTATCCCCACAGCCCTTGGTCAGCTCAGAGAAACACTCCCTCTGAGCTGATGCATCCCAAAGATGTATTTTCCAGGGATGTGGGCCAGAGGATTTTCTGTCGGTCTGCCCTTACAGCGAACGTGCACAGCTCAGCATCGTCCACCAAGATTACAGACCCGTATGACAGGAGTGGGCTGAGGGTGCAGCCCAGCTGGCCGAGTCACATTAGCCTTTATATCATCATTGAACTGCCAGGGGAGAGCAACCTCTCCCTTAGTCCTGCTTCGGCCAGAAACAGCAGATACTCACCGTTCACCATCAGCTCCAGGGCGTTCTCCTTGACAGCGGTGCCCACGGTTCGGAAGTGGCTACGGAGCAAGCACAGTGCGTGAGGTCAGCGGGCAAACAGCGCTTGGCGGAGGGGCGAGCGCCCGCCTTTCCGCCTCCCCGCTCCGCCCGCTCCCCCCTGTACTCACTAGAGCACGCTGTACCCGGCGTCGAAGTGCTGCAGCACGGCCAGAGCGCCCCGCGCACGGAAGGCGGCCCGGAAGGCTGCGGGAAAACACGGGGAGGGGAGGGGAGGACAGGGCCGTGAGCCGGCGGCAGGACCGGGACAGGCCGGGCCAGGGAGTGCGGGGACAACTTACCTGCGAGGGAGGGCGGCAGCTCATGGACGGGCAGCACCTCCTGCACCACGTAGTGCCCGCGGCCATCGTCCCGCAGCAGGTCGGCCAGGGCGAGCGGCACCTGGAACTGCGGAGCCGCCGCCGCGCCCGCCATGGCCGCCACAGCTCAAAACAGCGCGCGCGGGCCGCGACCGCCCCGCCCCCTCCACGGGCCTATCAGCAACGGCGGCCTCGCCGCGCGCCGGCATCGCGCCCAATCGCCGCCCCCGCCGCGCTCGCGGCCGTTGGGCAGACGTCACCTCCGCGGCGGAAGGGGCTGCCCGGCCCGTCCCGTCCCGGCCCTCCTGTCCCGGCCCTACCCCGGCGCACCGGGGCTCACCCCCATGGCGGCGCTGCTGCTGCGGACGGCGGGCCGGGCCCTGATGGGCCGTGCCGCGCCGCTGCTCCTCGTCGAGCGGGGCATTAGTGAGGGCGGCGGGGCGCGCTGGGCGCCCGTGCGGCCCGGCCTCCCCGTGCCCCTCTCCTCGCCCCTGGCGGGGCTCACCCGGCCCATCCCCATCAAGGAGCCGCCGCAGCGCAAGCAGGTGGACCGCTGGACGAAGAAACGGGCCTTGTTCGGAGTCTACGACTACGTGGGGATCCTGGGTAAGACACACAGCCCGCCTGCAGGCGGGGAGGGAGGCTGGACCCACCTGCGGGCTGGCGCCTCCTCCAGGAGGGGAGGATTTGGGCCGGCCGCCCTAGGAAGAGTCTCTTTCAAAGCCCGGCTTCACCTCTGCCTTCCCTGCTGTTCTCAGGCGGCTTCCAGATCCACCCGAAGAGTCTCATCAAGGGGCCCACGTGGCTGCGAGGCTGGCGGGGGAACGAGCTGCAGAGGTGCATCCGCAAGAAGCAGATGGTGGGCAATCGGATGTTTGTAGAGGACCTTCACAAACTGAACAAGAGGATCCGGTACTTGTACAGGCGCTTCAATCGCACTGGGAAGCACCGCTAGCGTTCGGCATGTGGAGCATGGGGTTGTGGCATCGCGGTCAAAATAAAGACAGCTTTCACTCAGTTGGGTTTCCAGTGCTTCCTACAACCTTTGCTGTGTATTTCTAGCCTGCTCCCAAGGTCCTGCTGCTGCTCCAGCCCTGAGGTCCTCTGTGGAAATTCTTCTGTGCCCCCTCAGGCATTTCTGACGTCTTGCAGACATCTATTCCAGCCTGCATCCCTGAACTTGACCCTCGGGTCTCTAATTTTTGGCCAGGTTTCAAGCATCCTTTGTCTTTGCTAGCCCCAGGTTCTCACATTCTACTTGACAATTCCAGTATGCTTCAGCTTAGATTTTCCTCATAACCAAATTTTCAAGTTAGTGCCAAGAGTGCCTGCTAATATGTCCTCCTGCTCACTGCTTTATCCCTTGCCCTCTGCTTATTTGTGATTAAATGTGAATGACCCAAATGTTAGTTGAAATGCATCGAAACTTGTCTTCAGAATGGGATTTGTCTCCTGTTTCACACCTATGACTTAAACCCCTGCTAATGGCATTTAATGGCCAAATGACCTTTCATTTATAATTGAGTCAGGATTTGCAAAAGCAATTCAGGTATTTGACTGTTTTAAAAAACTCTGACTTCTAGTTTTCCATAACTGTTACTGGTTCCTTTAGAGGAGAAATTACAGTGAGGCAGAGCTGGCATCCCTCTAGTCCAGCATCACAAAGACCATTGTACACTTGGGGAAAAAAATGTAGCATGAGCAGGCACTTGCCTACCTCTTCTCCCTTAGTTTTTAACTGGTCTGCTAAATAATTTGGGAGTTACATCTGCTGACTTGATGTATCTTGCTACTAAGCAACACTGCTCTGTCTCCAACAGCACTTGGTTGGAAGTGGCAGGGAACGAATGGAAAGAACTTTCTTTATGTCTAAGCCTGAGAAAAGTGAAGGCAAACTCTGTTCAGACAGCTGAAGTTCACATTCTCAGGAGCAAGGTGGCAGACCTGGGGGAATTGCCAAAAGGTGGTGTGGATCCAGGAAACATGCACAGATCCAACTGGGGACTGAGAAAACACCTGAAAGAGAGCAGCTGGGGGTTATTACATATGTAAACCATAGGTGTAGCAAATCCTTGGCTGAAAATATGTCAGAAACAGGAAGAGTGTCAGAGCAAGTACCTTGTACCCTTTGTCATCTCTTAACCCCCAAGCACCAAGCTGGCAAGGGCTCAGTGGCCACTAGTTCCATAAGCTCTGTCTTCGGTTATTTGCAATGGTTACTGGAACAGTCCTTGGACTGTGGTGGGAAGGTCGCCAGGCTACAGAAACTTCTTCCGTAACTTGTCCCTTTGCAGCTTGACTGAAGGCTCAGCTTAAAAACATGCAGTTCTGCTGAGCCCAGTGCTAGTCTGCTCCTGTCTGCAAGTCACCTGGCTCAAGTCACAACCCTGTATTACGTGTTCACCTTGTAGTTGTGGTATTTTGGTTCCCATGCTGTCATCTGTGACGTTTCTGTCTTGTGTATCTACTAATCTATCAGATCTGATACTAAAAACTATGAATGTCCTGTATCACCTTATGAAAGGAAAAGGTGTGTGAACCCACGCTTGTCACCCTACTCACCGCACCAAATGCTCTATGAAGAAACTTCTTGTTCCAATATGCTCCTGCCTCCTTTTTTGTCCTGAATTAAAGAATCTTCCCTTCTGATCCATCAGGCTTCTGCAGATTTTTAGAGGGAAAAGACACACGTTGCTGTTCTCGGGGCTGCTGCAGGAACCTCATTTCCCCCGCAGGCTGCAGAAGCTCAAACGGGACTTGTTCAGGTTCCCTTTCGTGCCGTGCTGTATGGTGGAAATGGGCCAGCGACACCATCTCTTAATTGCAAGGGCAGCGGCTTCACTAGAGCCAACAGACACACTGCGGAGGTGGAATTACGGAACTGCTCCGCAGTTCCCACCACTACGGCACTCGCTGGGATGAGCTCCAAGGGGAAAACTGGACGGGGCGGGTAACCATGCTCTGGCTCTGCGTGACCGACACGGAGCGCGGCGGCCCCACTCAGGGCTGGCGGGGCCGGAAGGTGTAGCGCCTGGCCACGAGAGAGCCCTGGATCGGGATGGGCATGGGGAACGGGATGGGGTCCGAGTCAGCCCCGGTTCCGCAGGGGAGGGGCGGGGCCATTGCGGGGGGCGGGGCCATTTTGGGGGGCGGGGCGCCAGGCCCCGTTCCCATTGGGCTGCCCACAGGGGAGTCACCGGGGGGCGGGGCTTGTCCCGCGGCAGTCTGGGGGCGGGGCCGAGTGGAATCGCAATCGCGGAGCGCTGATTGGCTGAGGAGGAACCCTGGGGCGGGGCCGATCTGCCGCTCCCGGCGGGACAACTTTTGGTTGGCTGCTGGCTCCGTGGGTGGGGCCCGGCCGGCGATAAGTGCCGGTGGCGGCGTTCCCTGCCTGGCTGTGCGGAGCTCCAGCGGTGTTTCTGTCCCGCACGGTGTCGGTCCGGCCCGGCCATGTGAGTGTCCGAACGACAGACCGGCTGCGGCGGGGGCGGTGGTTGGAGCGAGATGGAGCGGGGTCAGCGCAGAGCCCGCGTCCCAGCCGGCGGCGGTGGGGCCGAGTGGCGCATTGCAGCAGCCGCAGGCAGGGCTGCCCGCACCGCCCCCGGGCGGTCCTGCGCTCTCGCCGGCTGCGGGTGGGTGGGTGGGTGCGTGTGCCGTGCCCCTCTGGTGATGCGCGGGGCTGTCGCGTCCCCTTCCCGGCCGGTGCCAACCTGGCTGGCGGCCACCGCTGCGCCCAGCCCGGAGGCTGCTGCGACCCCATGGGGTGCCCCCGCACTGTCTCCCCGTCCCCGTTCTTCCCCCTGCCTTCCCTATGTCGCGATCCCCTACGTGCAGCCCCCCTGCACTGCCGCCCCCGCGACCGATCTCCGCAGCCCCCCGGGCTTGTCGCTGCTCCGGGCTCTCCCACGAGCCCGCCTGCTCCTGGTCTGGGGGGATTCAGGGAAGATGCGGGCCCGCGGGGCTGCTGCCAAGCGCTGCCTCAGCCTAGACACGCAGGGCTTCGTGTAGGTTTAGGGAATTGTCTCTCGAGCGGCCTCTTTGCCCGTGTGTGTCTCTCCCTAGGTCTGACCCAGCTCCGCAGCCTGCTCCCGGGGCCCCCGAAGGGGGAGCCCCCGAAGGAGGAGCTCCTGAAGGGGGAGCCCCCGGTGCGGGCCCCCCCGGGGCTCCCCCCAATCTGAGCAGTAATCGCCGCCTGCAGCAGACCCAGGCCCAGGTGCAGGAGGTCAGTAGCTCTGCCAGCCCCGCTGGCTTTCCACTGGGTGTCTGGACTCTTCTCCCACTGCTCTGCAGCAGTGATATTCTTGACAGGTGTCTGTCGCTGCGGGGGTGGCTCTTCGTGTCACGCCAATGCCAGAAATGCATTAATACTTCGATACTCCAAAATAGGGTGGCAAACCTATAAAGAGGCTGGGGGAGAGACTGGTTTTTGTTTAAAAGCTGCCTAATTCTAGATATGACTTCCGAAGAGCAGGCCAGTTAGATTTTTTTGTTTTAGTACTTCATATCGTGCATCTCTTATGGAAATAAAGCTATACAGCATCCAGGACAGCTCTTAATCCTTGCCTGCTGCCTCAGGGGAACAGTGTGTGTGCAGTGGGATGTGGGGGAACCCTTGCCTGGCTTCCCGCAAACAGTTCCTGCAGCTTGGCTGCTGCCGTGCAGTAGCGCCTTTGTGCCTCACTGAGGCAGCAACACGAAGCTCGTAAGTTAATTTTGCAGTTACCAGGGAGTGAGCATATTATTCTTTTCATGAGAGTGGCAGCTTTGGCTTGCTGCTGGATTTGAGAGCTTTTAAAAGCAGGTGAGAACTGGGGGTGGGGGAGGCGGCGACCTGGTTTAAACGTTAGTTATTGGCCAAGTTACTCTTCTCACTTTTTCAACTTCTTTACCAATACAACTGCTGCTACTATTCTTCCTTCTGCAGGTGGTTGATATAATGTGTGTAAATGTAGACAAGGTGCTGGAACGAGACCAGAAGCTGTCAGAGCTAGATGACCGGGCAGATGCACTTCAGGCTGGTGCCTCAATATTTGAAAGTAGTGCAGCAAAACTCAAAAGGAAGTACTGGTGGAAGAACTGTAAGGTGAGTTTCCTAGTGCCATGATCTCCTTAAACAGAAGGAAATTGGACTACTCCTCTCCTGCAGGGCTTTGCAGGTATAGTTGGGGTTTAATGACAATTTCAAATGTTTAAGATTCTTTCCCCGTGGAAAGACTTTGAGGCCTTGGCTGTCATGCCTTTAGGGCCTTGCTTATGTTCCCTGGCCATCAGGGAGTATGTGAACTTGTCCATCTGTTCTGAGTATTACTCTTTGACAATCTCTTTCTCCAGATGATGATCATGATGGGAGTGATTGGTGCCATTATTGTGGTGGTGATTGGAAGTAAGTACCAAAAAGCTCAGGCTCAAAGGTGAAGGAACATCAGCTCTAGACTACTTTAATTTTTCCTTTTAGGTTTGAAATCTCAAGGGTCTTAGTTACATAAGTGTTAACTTCGGTCCTTGGGGAAGGGAGGTGGAAGTGCTGGAATTCCCTCACTTATTGCAGATATAGCATGCTTTACATAGTAATAGAAGGAATTGGGAATGCCATCATTGTAGAAATGAGAAATTCTGCCTGCAAGGTCAGGTAAACCTGTAAGTATGAGGGGCCTTTTCCCTGGGGTGGGTGGGTTGGCAAGTCCCTTCCCTGGTGGGTAATTTGAAGATCTCTGAGGGGCCTTTGGTGTAACTTGCCCTTTTGTTCTTTCCTTTTTTTTCCTATTGCTTTGTCTCCAGTCTACTTTTTTACTTAAATGTAGCTCCTTCAGTCTGCAACCTACTGTCCCCTATCACCTTGCCTGCCTATTCTTGCCTCCAAATCTTTCCTTTCCTTCCCTTTCCTTCCCTTTCACCCAGCTTCTTCATTGATTTCTTTATTGGTTTTAATCTGTCTTCTGTATAGGACTCTGAGCCGCTTACCAAACATTGCTAGACTTTTCAACAGTTGCTGCAGCTTTAGGGAGCGTCCTCTATGTTTAGAGGAAAGGGAAATAAGGAGGAGTGGGTAGCTATTTGCTTCTGCTCTTCTGCAGGGAATGTTGGGGGTTTATTTTTGGCTGTGAGCTTGTCAAATAGTGCCTGTGTGAACTCCTGCAATATAAGAATGCCTTAACGCAGTGCCTTTGGGGATGAAGGACTTCAGCATGTGAGAGTCTTTAGTGTTCTGCCTAAAAAGAGTGGCAGCATGACCTGAGCTTTTCACTGAGCTGCTGAAATAAAGGCTAGTTAGTGATGGCCAGTGACTGTGAGCCATCTGACTAAGCTAGATGTAGTGACGTAGATTTCTTCAGCCATGGAGAGACGAGCACTTAAATGATTTATTCTGCCTGTCCTTATTTTCAGATGACTTGGTGTCTGAACGTGGCCATTTCAGGTTTTATAAAGGAGAGCCTACATGATTACCTCAGTTAAGTGCAACAGGCTAAACACAGTTGAGTGAAAGGAGCATTGTTATTATCTAAAAGGCATGTATAAGAGTAAACTCTCTCTCCAGAAAGAACAAAAGAACAATAATTAGTCTGGTGGGAGTTGTCAAATATTCTTTTCATCTATGCACACACAAGCCAGGATCCTGTAGCTTTCTGCTATCTTGTAGCTTTCTAGAAGGAAGACTTTGGGGTAATGGCAGAATGGGAATGGGTGTTTTGCTTTTGTGTTACTGGGTTGAATGTCAAAGGCAGCTCACTGCAGTAGCAAATGGAGGTGAAGGGGACTGGAGGTATTCCAGATGAAACTGAATGAGCTGCACAGCTTTCTGATTAAGAGTATCTGTTCCATTTCTGCTGCCATGGAACACTAACTTTCAGCAGGAGTAGGAAAATACTTGAAATGGTTACCTAGGGATTCAAAGGGAAATGCTGCTTTAGGCAAGGATATTGCAAAGTGACACCAGATGTCCCAGTTTGGCAGCTTAGGTCTCTAGAGGTCTACCAAACTGAAATCCTCCTACTAGCTATGGGTTCTCCTGAATTTAGATCCAGGGTGGTCTCTGCTGTAAGTGAACTTGCAGCGTGGAATGCTCTGTCATTCTCTAAGGAATCCCCTTGTTCTTCTCCATCAAAAGTAACAAGAGCTGTGAATTGCTTCAATGTGTTGTCAGACATGGCAGTAAATGAACTGCCCTGTTTCTGTAGAGTCTTCCAAGGAATGCGTATCTTGTTGGTTTTTTTGTGCCTTTTTTTTTTTTTTTTTTTTTTTTTTTTTTTACAAGCTGAGCTGTAGCCTGTAATCTAGACTGGAAAGAGGGTGCTCCTTTAACTTAGAAAACTCTGCCTCTGTTCTAGAATATTCTGAAATCTGTTTAGACTTAAGAGGAGGTGAGGGGAATATCAGTAGTGTTCCTAGATGGGAGCAAAGTACAAAAGATGGGAGGGGCAGATGCTTTTTGTTTCATTCGGTGTGCTGGGGAAGCCCCTTTCCTCCTCACAGGGCATCTGGCAAGAGGTTAGGTTTTGCATGCTCACTTCCATGCCCCAGCATTTCATTTGCTCAAGTTCATCTCCCTGCAATTCCATTCCTCTCCACTTCGGGGGAGGGCAGAGATGAAGATCTGGAGTGAAGCAGCCCACGTCCCCTGAGCACTTCCCTAATTCCCCGTGGAACTGAGATGTGATGGATGGTCAGAAGTGCATCTGCTGAAGAGGAGCCAGGGCCTGCTTGTGCTACTTACTGCTGTCATTTTAGGGGGTAGGCATACAAGCTTGAGGCCCCCAGACCAGCAATTCTCTCAAACTCTTCTAAACAAGCCTTTGGTGCCCCGTTCCTCCCGTCTCTCTGGGGGTTGAGGTTCCCCCTAGGCTGTCTCTTTCATTTCTTTCTCTTGAATGTTATATGTTGCCTCCTCCTGTGCTCCCTTTCCCCTCCTTTGTCTCTGTGCATGGGCGAAACAAATCACCAAGGCCCTCTGAGTAAAAAGCGAGGCACTCTGCTGCCCGCTGCATTACAACCACTTACGCACGTGCAGTTTATTTACTTCATTTATAAACACAACTGTAATCTCCTCTGGCATGTTCTAGAAATCAGCTCATGTACTTTTAATGGTCTCTAAGAACTCTAAGAAACACAATTCACCACCTCTCTGAGTCTGTCTGGTCTATCAGTGAGTGGGGAGGGTTGGGATGCCAAACTGTTTTTGGAATGTCTTTTTTTTTTTTTCCTTCCCCCCCCCTTTTTTTTTTTTTTTTTTTGTCACTTCCATAGCATACACATACCTGGAGTTCTGGCCCTCAAAGCAGTGGCTGGTTTTCCGTTGAAAAATGATGGTTGTTCCAGTTGTGCTGAACTGACTCTGGTAAGTCTGTAACAAAATGTTTGAACCAGCAGCTCTGGGGGAATAGGCTGCCCAAGCCAACTCTGCTTCCAGCCACCAAACACTGAGCTGCTGTGTCATATTCAGGGGACTACCTTCCTGTGCATTTGAGAGTGTTAGTGGCAGCTCTAGCTCTCAGGCTGTGTTGTCTTTGGGTTTCAATAACCTCAGATCCTTAAGCCCAGAAAACAATTCTCCATTGGTGTTGGAATATAAGTTCAGGATCCAAATGAGCTCCAAGAGTAGGATCCTGTTCACAGCATATCTTAGATCATGACTGCAATAAAGGTAAGTACCCCATTGTTTTGCTTCACTGTACACTTCAAACTCATTAAAAAGAAATGACAGATCTTTGTCCTGTGCGGACTTATTTTAAAATGAGGTACTTGTGCCCTTATCTGACCCTACAAAGGTTAGGTTGTAAACCAGTATTCTCTGTAGCTTGGGGTTCCCTTGTGATCAATCTTTGTCCAGTCTTAAACATCACCAAAATCGTAACAGAACAATGAACACACCGGAACATTTCAAAATGGTGAATTTGGAGCAAGACAGCTAGACTAATTCTTCAAAGGTAAAAGCTTTCCTGGGGAAGGAAGATGTCTGGACTGGCTGGTGGATTAAAGCAGCATTTACAGTCTAAAATTTCACACAGTTCAGGCCTGCACAACCTGAACGAACTAGTCATGCTACAATTCCTGCCAATTTGTGTGTTGTCTTCCTGTCAGTTCTCAGCCTCATTCATGTAGCAGGATAGGGAAAATGTTTCTCAGGATACATGCATTTTTAGACTGTTCACTATGCAGTCTAAGTCTCTAGCCAAAGCTGGGGACTTGAAGGCTCACTTTCCAAAGCTGGCCAGCTACTCTGGAGCACAGAGCTGGAGCTGAACATACTGCTGAAAGTTGTCCCAGGGTTGAGCTCAGTTCCTGAGTCATGTTGTGGATGCTTGCAAAGAGTTGTATGTCTAACCATAAATCCTCTGGTAGGCACTGGAAATACCATGCCCTTCTGGGAGCTCACCCTCTGAGGTGCCATCCTTTAACATATCAGCATTTCTGCTGCTCCTGCAGAGTCTGTTAACCTGGGCAAAACATGGTTTTAAATGTGCTCTAAAAGCAAGGCCAAGGCTTTGGGAGAATGGTTCTTCATAGGTCTAATTAAAAATTCAAGCTCTGCCTTTAAAGGTGGAACATGTTTAACATGCCTTTGAATGGGAACAGATTGCCCAGAGAAGCTGTGAATGCTCCATCCCTGGAAGTGTTCAAACCAGGTTGGCTGGAGCTTTGAGCAACCTGGTCTAGTGGAAGATGTCCCTGCCCATGGCAGAGGGTTGGATCTAAGGTGATCTCTAAGGCCCCTTCCAACCCAAACTGTTCTCTGCAACATGCAGCTCCCATATCAACTCTTTCATCCTGATGTCTTCAGATTTGGTGGAAGAAAAGCCTCAACTATACTGCTCTTAAATGGATATGCCTTAAACCTTCATATTTCTAGGTGCCTGAAGCATTGCTCTGGCCTTTTCTGAGATCTCTGGGTGCTGATCAAATCAGGCTGCAAGTTCTCATCAGTGGTGGGGTTTGTGGTCTCAGCTGGAGAGTAACCAAATGATGGTGGGGAAGACAGATTTTTCCTCAGTAGCATCAACATTTGTTTAATGGACCTAGCTTTCCTGTGAAGGGACAGAGGTCCCTGCTCTGATCTATCCACTGGGGCTGGAAGCCTTAACTTGGTGAAGGGAAGCAGTAATGGGGAGGTATAGAGGTTTTATCTTTGTTCTGACCTCTTGGCAAATAATTACTCTCTGAGATGTAACAGATAAAGATATAGGTTTTACAAATAGGCATCACAGCTATGACTCTTGGATACTTCAGCCTCCATACTTCTGATAATCTTTAACCTATTTTTTTGCCAGAAATAGAGTGCAAGACCTATTCAGAACACCCTTACTTGCTCAAATATGACCAGCCCCTTAACTTCCTTTCCTTCACTGCACAGACCCACTAAATGATTTCTGTAGAGGCCAAAATGGCACTTTCTTTTCATGTTCTTTCCTGCCAGGCTTCTTTTCCAAAAGAATTTGTGCTATTTTTTTTTTAATAAGTTTTTTGTATCTCCAAAAAAGCTGCTAGTTTTTGTTGGTTTTTTTTTTTTTTTTTTTTAGTTCATTGCTTTTAAGCATGTACTTGAAAGCTGAAGGTGCTTTCCTCTCTTGTGCTCACGAGCCTCCTTTAAATATTGCACATTGGTAAGTACAAAGAACTGCAAGACTGAACACAGCCATCCCTCTGGTATGTAGTCCATCTCCATCCCTTAGCTTTTAATGAACCTGTCCAAAGAGCCTGGTAGCCCTTTCCTCAAATTCATTCTTGTTTTGACCTCAGTCTATGAAAACAAACCTTGCACCTATTTGTCCAGCTTCCCTAAACCCTCCAGCAAGCAGAGGTTAGTTCTTCTAAATGTACTGGTTATATTCCCAAGTGATGTTTTGTCTTTTTTTTTTTTTTTAAGCTTTCTTAGACAGTTATGTTGTACTTCCTTACATTTCCTCTATTACCTTAATTCTTAGAGAAAAACAGTATTGCCCTCTGGAAGGACAAGTTTTCAGCTGATAGCTGGGTATGCCTGGCTACGCCTCTGTCCTTGTGTTTCTTGCCTTCTCAACCATGCTGTGCTTAGTTTTCCTCCTTCATGGAGGGCCTGATGCATTCTGTCCTTTCTCCCAGTACTTCTTTCCATTCTCCCAGTCTCACTACACTCCAAATTTCCTTAGAGGTTCTCAGATTCTCTGAAGTCATCTGATCTCACAGTTGGAGTCCTCAGAAACTTCAGAATCCCTACATTTTCCAGACACTGTATTCCTTTTCTCTGCTAGCACATGATTTCCAAATGCTCTTAACACTCAATCAGCTTGCAAATGTCTGCCAACCCCACAGTCCCACAGATGCTGGGGCCCTTTACCCCATCTCTGCAGGTTGTTCCCTATCCAAAAGAGCCCACCTCTCTTTCCTTGTATTTCAGCAGTATCGAACACTTAAACAAATCTTCTATCGTTTTAAAGCCCTAAACTCTCATCCCTCTTACTCCTCTGTAATTTCTCCATTGTATAAACATTCCTTTTTCTCACCTTTAAATACATGGAACTTCCCACTTCTGTGCTGCTTACTCCTACAAAACAAACCACTCTGATACTCCAACTTACCCACAAAATGTTTTCTCTTGCACCTTCCTTTCCCCTTCAGGCACTTGTATTTCTACTTCTCTGCCTTCCTCCTGCACAACAAATGCTCCCAGTCCAAGAAGACACAACTCACTCTTCTTCAGTGTCCTGTGACCTTTAGGTGCTCTTTGCATGTTTTCCATGTCCTCCTAATAACTGTGCTATGCCTCTAACATATCTAAGACTACTGTGCATTTATATCGCCTCAACTTTCTCCTCTGGTACAAATCCACCCCAGCTCAGACCTTTAATTTGTCTTTAGCTGGCCTGTAGGTCCCTCTAAACGTGCACTTTCTCCTCTTTTCTCTGTTTTTTTTCACATTCTCAGTGAAACACTCCTATTTTCTGCACTCTCACTCCAGCACTGCTGGACTTGCCTCTTGTTGTCAGCCAGACCAAGCTCACTATACATCTACTGAGCTGATGATTTGTGGTCTTGTCAGCCTACAAGAAGCATAGGGATATTTCTGGGAGGATCACTTGATTTCTCTCAAGATAGTAATTTTTGCACTGATTCTCAGGACAGGGAGGGCTAATCTATTTACCAACTTGTATAACAGCTACTTCATGCCTGTACAGGCTTTTAAATCTGGATTTACAGCCATACGGAATGGTGCCATTACTTGGAGTTCATCAGTCAAAGCTCTTGTTTTGTCCCCTCCCCCTCATTTTAACACTTCTACAGAAGGGAGAGAATATGATGCAAGCTTCCCCCAGGGAATACATCACCGCCTTCTACAGCTGTATTTCTTTATGATGAAGAGAACTTAGTGTTTCAAGTAGTTTATGCCTCTGATTAATGTTTCTTTAATCACTCACTTAACTGTGTGTGATGCAGCGGGTCTCATCAGTTTTATGGTTATTAGAAAGTACCATGTGATGTGAAGAATCGTGTCTTACTCTTCGGATATTCAGGAAAGATCATGCTCACCAAGTGAATCATCATACATTTATGATATACAGTGACTGTTTTAGGTGTTGCACCTGCTCTTCCTCCTTTACTTCTCTATCTGCCTTTCTTGCTTTAATTGTGACCAAAGTTACTTTTAGCAACTAAACCTAGCTTTTAGCTCTGCCTCTTGGGCAGCGTTTGTACAGAATATGAAAGTCCCTTCATTAAGGCAACTTAGAGATTTCGTTCTTGAATTACTCTTTTTTCTTCATTTAAAATCACCCACAGACACAGAAAGTGGACTTTTTTCGTGTTTGCAGATGCCCCGATTTTTTCCAGTGGCAGCCTCCCAGGAGGAATACATGTTCCCACACCTCAAAATGCCTGTTGCAGGACTCTCCCTCCTGCTGGGCTGCCACCCTTGCTGAAGGACACCCCCTGAATTGCTTGCTTCTATTCCCAGCAGAAAGATATCATCTTCACTTTCAAACAAGGGTCATAAGCCGAGCACTGGGATAAAATTTGGAAAACCATGAATATTTGTGCAATAAAGAATACAGAGTTTGTGTATGTGAAGAAGAATAAAATCACTCTCTGCTGGGAATTGAAAAGTGCCTTTATGTAACTGAGGCAAGAGCAATACAATCAGCATGTGTTTAGCATCTCAAAGGGAAAAATTAGGCAACAGTTTATAGACTGTAGTAAACCCCTCCACCTTCTCAAGGGCAGTGTATCTACCTTAATTTTTAAAATAACTTAAGTTTTTCTTTTGTTATGATTAACTAGTTTTTAAATTCAAAAGCTGCTGTTCGCAATGTGATTGGGTAGATGGTACCACAGGTCTTTGCCTAAACTATATGCTTAAATTCTGGTATCTGTGTTTGTGTCCTGTGAAGTGGATAATCCTGTTTGTTAAGGACATCACCCTTGCTCTCTTGATACCCCATAAAGTGCTGTGTAAACACCATTGCATCAGAAGTCTGAATATTTGTAAGAAAAGAGTATGGCAAGCTTACTGCAAGAAATAGGATGTGTTCTCTTATGCAAAGGTCCCCAAATTAGTTCCCAAAAAGAGGACCATCTTTGCCTATGTGGTCCAGTCGAATAGGATAAGGCTTTAACTGGAAGGATTTTTGACTAAAGCCTCCAATACTTCTCCTGTGCTTCACTTAGGAAGAAGAGCCTCAGCAGAGCCTCTGTGGGTGGACCAGGTAAGGGTTGGGTCGAGCAGAACAGGCACTGCAGGACCTGTGCTCTTCTGATCTTTTGTGGAATCCCATGGTAGCAGAGGTACTGTTTGGGGTTTTTGGAGGGTGTGCATAATGCTGCCAAACTCTCTTTGTTTCCATTGTGAAAGCAGGGAGGGCCAAGCAGATGTAGAGGTCAATTTGTCCTAGACCTGTTGGCAAACATTTAAATCGCTGTATGTACGGGTGTATGGTGTATCACAAGGAAGGGAGGCTATACACCCAAGATCTACCAGTGCAATACAGGCAGCTTGAAAAGGGAAACCTGGCACTGCCAGAGGTGTTTTGTCCCAGATCTGGGAGTGGCAGCAAGCGTCAATCACCTCTCCAGAGAATTGTGCATAGTAATGGTTGAGATTATGCCCGTGGCTGTTGTCTCAAGTAGCCTCTTCTCTGAGGGAGAAGGGAGTGGATGGCAATGTTGGGATCAGAGCCAGATATTAGCAACAAGGAAAGAGCAACCAGTTTCCGACTTTAGGGAGAGCTTAACAAAGCTCAGCATGTTGAGAGATTAGTACCCCGGCTGAGGCTCCATTCTTGTCCCCTGTCATACCACAGAGGAGGCCAGTCACACCTGCCAAACCTCTTTAATTAACAACAGACCAGAACGGTGGCAGCATCCTTGTTGCAGGGAAAAGCAAGCATGCACGCATGTGTAGGTGTGCACAGGCACAGAGTGTAAGGAAATCAAGAGGACATCTCCCCCTATACATAGACTGGGTCAACTCTCATCCCTGGCAATCCCCAGAGCAATAGTATTTTATGAGACCGAAGAATTCACCTAGAGTAGTGAAAGCAATGAACCCAGGCCAACCACAGAGCAGTCTTCTGCTATGGTCCAGGTGCAGCACCCAAGAAAGAAGGAAACACAGGTCCCACAGACAAAGTGTGCAGCCTTTGCTCCAGTTGCCACCCATCTGAACGGTGGAACAAGCTGCTGCCTCAGTCGTGTCCCACCTCACCATCCCTGCTTGGCCCACGTGGTTCCAGGCTGTTATAGGATGGCAGTGTGGTCACTACAGCCTCAACAGTGAAGCGATGTGGAGAACCGAGACCTGGTGTCTCGTCCTGGAATGCAGTGTTGTCATGACTGTTTGGAGAGGGTCCCGGAGGAGAGAGCTTCTGCCGGGAACGGAACCAGCGGAAGGCCAAGATAAAGGTGATGGCGATGAAATCCAGAATCAGCTCTACAAGCTCCATCACAGACAAGACAGAGGATCCAAACCAGAGACTCCACTGGTTCCCAAGCTGGGACAGCAGAGTCACTACCTGCAAGAGATGGAGAAAGAGCAATGAGGACAGCCCTCATTCAAGACTTTTGCCTCCCTGCCTTTTCCTGCTATCAGTGCCCCTGTGGTGGTGGGGATTCCTCTCACCATGCCACAGGAAAAGAGACTGGATAGCCAGCAACGCTGCTGGAACAAACACGTTCCACTGTGGACAGCCATTGTATGGGAATGGGTAGCTAGAGAAGCCATGGTAATAAAGTGTATACCGTGAAGGCCGGAGACTCCCCATTGGTCTTGTAGTTCCACTCCTCAAAAAAGATATTCACTTTGGCAACTCCGTTCCTGTAAATGAAAGATGAGGCTCAGTAACCCCAACTCCTCAATCCCTGCATTTCTTCACCAAGTGTAATTTTCTTCTCTGTCTCCTTCTGCCCCCATCCTTCTTCCTGACATACCACCCAGAGGCTTTTTCCCATCTCTGCAGTTCCCTCATTCTGCACTGAATGTAATCTTTGGTACTCACAGTGCACTTCTGAGACTGCACTGTGAAACCCACTGTTTGTGGCAAAAGCTTCTACCTGGCTCTCCTTCCTGCTGTTCCATGAGGACATACTGTGGTTCCAGACCACATGGCAGGTGCCTGGGGCTTACTGTTTTCATACCAGCATCTGATCCCTTTCAAATTTTTCACTTGGACCCCCAGTCCTTGTTGAAGTCTCAGCATATATCTACTCTGACTCAAATCCACTGACTTGTCCACAGGTTCCATGCCTGATTTTTTCCCATCATTGATTTATTCTTAGCTCTGACATTCCCATAACACACACATTCCACTGGGATGGTTTCAGGTTTGGACACAATCTCTGCTTAGGGGCTCTCACCTCTTGGATGTGATGTTGTATTTGTTCTGTTGTGAAAGCATGTAAAAAACCCAGTCCTGAAATGAAAGTGCAATAAGTTGTGTTACATGATCACAGTCACACCCTGGAGGTTTAGCACCAGGTGAGGAAGGACTAAACAGGAGGTGGGAGCAGTGCTGAGGAGCCAGGACACCCTCTCCTTACCTCTGAGACAGCGGAAGGCCAGCGGGAGTATCCAGCTGACAGCTGGTATTCTGTCATTCTGGAAGACAGAGGTTGTATCAGCTGTTGAAGCTGTAGGAGTCACAGGGCCAGGTCTTGCCATTTCCAGGCACACCTGGAGATTCCCTCCCGTGCTGAAGTTCTGCCCACTTCCCAATGTGCAGAATGCACAGTCCCTGGGAGCTCACCCCTGAGTTGACCCTGATGTTCCTTGGTCATTTTGGTGTCCTGATGGGAGATAATGCCATTCTGGGTGGCAGCTTAGCCATAGACTCAAGCTTTTGCCCTGGCCAGTCAATGCTTTCTAACACTTCTAGCAAGAAGGAGTTTTCAGTCTTCCTGACTGACTGATGATCAAACTTACTTGCAAGGTTTCCGACATTTGTGGAAACAGCCCAGCACATCGGCTTTGAATTCAGCCAGGAGTTTGTAATAGCAGTAGCCTGAACAGCAGAGAAAGTAAGTCCAGGTAAGCTCACAGTATCTTTATATAAAAGGCGATGTGTGACAGTAAGGGGAATCCAGAGAAGGTTTCCTTCCACAAGCTCCAAGGGACTGACCATCCAAGACAAGAGTGTCTTTTGGATGTTCCCCTCAGGAAGCTCAATGAAGACAGTAAGATGTACGGGACATGGGGTGCACCTAACAGGTTCAGATGGGCACGAGCTTTATTGTTCCTCCTGTCCACTTACCCCAAGACACGTGCTTTGTATAGTCACAGTACTCTGCTCCTTCGGGTAAGGGGTAAAAGTAATAGGCACAGCCACAGCGCTCGACCATGTTCAGCTGAAAGCAGGAGCGAATGCAGACCTGGGAGGCACATGAGGTGGAAAAGGCTGAGCAAGGAAACTAAACCTACTGCAGCCTACATCACATCATACTATTAACAGAGCCCACAGACAAGTGTGGCCCTCAGGGAACTAAAATATTTCAGGAAAGTAGGGAAACAAGCCAGCAAAGGGCCAGTGACAGTGAGTTACCTGTTCGGTGTAGCGGGATGAGTACAGATTTTGCACCGGCACGTCACTGCCATCCTCTGTGCAGTCACTGTAACTGCCCCCAAGACGCACAGTCATCTCCTGGAATAGCAAACTGTCACTGCACAGAACAACTGGCACTTTGCTGTCCTCTTCCTCAGCTTCCATGCCACACACTGCTCAACCATCAGTATCTACTCTTTGTGCTTTCCTCAAGATGCCTCCATTTCATTGTTCACTGATAAAGTGCAGTCAAATGCTTCTCATCTAGTCCAGTAAGCTGCTCCTCCTCCTCTCCCTCCACTCCATGTGACTAATCTCCTCCCTTAAACACACACTAGGTCTATGACAACCCATCTGTACCTATGCACCAAGTTAAACCTCCCCATAACCTCACACCTACAGCTCTTACCCCTGCTGCTTCCTTACCTTTCTCATGCTGATGGAGGTCTCGATACCAGGACGCACGTTGAAACCCCCATCATCCATGAAGGCTGGCTCATTCTGATCGTGGACCATGACCCTGGCTCCTGTCACCGTGGACAACAGAGGGATGAAATCATTCTGTTCTGTGCGCACCACCAGAGAGAGACCTGAGGGAATGTCAGAGAGCAAGGGCGGTCACGGCTGGCTGTGGTGCGGGAGAGTAGGGAGAGCACAGTGGTTAGAAGTGAGTCTGTAAGAGATACAGGAAGAGACAGACCTCAAATAGGGCTGCACCGAAGCTTGGCAGCAACAGAGGGTGGCTGGAGGGAGTCTGGAGACAAAGCTGGAGGCTCCAGAAGAGGCCAGAGAGAGCTGAATTTCATCACTGTGACTTAGGAAAAGCAGAACTGGGAACTGAGAGATATTTCATGGAGAGACTTGGAGTCAGGTGGAAGAAAAGCCTGAAGATTTGGCCTCAACAGGTTTATGGGGTTTAGGAACACAAGCAGGTCAGTTGCTGGAAGGAGGGAAATGGAGAAGGAGGAGGTGAAGACAAGGCTCTCAGAAGCACAGCACTGTGTCTCAACATTTCAGGGAGGGTCAGCACAAGTCCAGAGGGAGCAACATAAGGATCAGGCACTGATAGGGGAAAGAGAGTTCAGTGGGCAGCAGTGAGGGACAGCCATGTCCTCAAGACAGCTGTCCCCACGTGGGCAAAAACAGCTTGGGCGAGACAGAGCAGGGCTGCAATCTGCCACCACCACTATTAAGCACAGCAGAATGCCCATAACTCCTAAGGAAAACAGAGCTAAGTTGATACTCCTTACTCACCAAAGAGTGCCTCTCACCCACCATTATTGATCCCAGGCAGCGAGGATGTCCACAGGTTGCTGCTGTTGTCATTAAAGGTATAGCAGTTCCCATACATGGGATGGTGGAAGTGGGTATAATTCCTGAGAGGGGAACAAAAACATTCACACAGTGTGAGAAGGACTGCAAGACCAAGAGGAAGGGCTTTATGAAAGGAACAACTCTGTTTTCTATCAGCAGGGAGAGGGGCTTACAGCAGATGGGCAGTATTTGTTGTGTAAACTCACCTGAACAGGGAAAAGCAATTAAAATGTACCGTAAAAAATGTCCTGGAGCTGGACAGGTTTTTACAGCACATTTTTCATACTGCTCCTGAGGGCACAAATGGGTTTTAGCAGTACTAGCAAATACTCTCTTATCTTCCTAATACTGAAGAATAGCTCTTTCAACCCCTTTTCCTCCCTTGCTGATGGGTGTCTTTCCACTACCTGTACTACCTCTTTTTTGACCAATAATAGCAGGAGAAAAGTAGAATATTTTTTTACTGTCTTTTTGTATCAACTCTCTCCTCTCCTCTTCCTGTACGTGTGCTGATATGTACCACTTTACTACTGTAGAGAGTAAAATAAAAATACTTTTACACTGTACATTGGTACCCACTCTGGCATTTGTACCAGTGCGTAACTGCTTCATTTGTGTGAAACCCAGGAAAAGGCAAAACCATCCTTTGAGGTTCATAGTTTCAGGTCACAGAAACTGTGGCCCTGATATGCACAACCCATGGGAAAGACTAAAGAATGATCACTTGAGGCAATGGGAAATGAACAAAGAACGATCCCACCTTGGAAAAGAGGTTCTTTAATGTGGGTTCGTTGATTCCCCTCAAACCCAGGCACAAAACGAGAGTTTTAAGGAGGACTCGGTGGGGTGTTTCCACTACTTACGCCTTGTCACATGTTGCTTCATTGAAGCGGCAAGCATAGATGAAATTCTCGAAGTCAGACTCATCCAGGGCTTTTGCATCAGGCACCTGTGCCAGGATATTGATATAGTGAAAGCTGTACCATTCCCGCACGGCATCCACTCCTGAGGAGTACGCCTGATGGAAGCAGTCCTTGCCGTTTTCACTGCACTGTTGAGAAGGAGAAAAGCAGCCAAGTCAGATAATTCTTGTGCAGGAGGCGAGGCTGTGCCTGCGGAAGAGCTGTTCTCCCTCAGCACAGGCAGGAGATGACCGAGGGAGTGGAAGAGCTCCACAGGGCTCCTGCGCTTCATCAAGGTCATCGGCAGGATGTGAAAGAGCAAACCCAGGGCAGTTCCTTGGTGGAAGGGAAACACCTGGTGAATAAGCAAGGCTGAGTAAAGCCCAGGAAGCAGAAAGTCGCAGTGAGGTGTGTTAGATGATCTGCACATAAATTCTACCTGGTATAAAACCAGGAGCTTTAAATTCTTGAGTGGGGAGCCCTTCCCTCAGGGTGTGTCCAGAAAAACTTTTGTGATCCTGTGGGAACTCCAGTTAACTGGCAAGTGATTAGCTACAGTCCTTCAGTGCCTTTTGAAATGCAAACACAGATACCCTAGGGCGAGGAAGCTGCTACCTAGGAGCAAATGCGACCATGACCACATTTCAGGTGACCCAGGACCATCAAATACTTCACCCCTTTGAATTATTGGGCAATGCAGCAGCTGATGCTGATAAACTGCTCTCCAAAGGCAACTGCAAGGCTGATGTAGCCTTCAGGAAGGACAAAGTTTCCCTGCTGTACCTAGGAAAAGATGGACAGTAAAGTGGGCAAGTCCCCTCAGGGCTTGGGCATGGACAGGGACAGGTCTTGCAGAGCAGGATTGCACTGGGCAAAGGATTCAGCTCTACTTTTATCTGTCATTAGCAAAAGCCAGTGCAGATTAATCGGATTTGTACATAGGGAAATGCATGGGCAAGGGTCTAACAAGACAGAAGTAGCTAGGCAGAGACTGGAGTGGGTAGGGCACAGGATATCTAGGGATCTCACCAGAACAAAGCCAATTTTCCAGTCATTCTTGTCCACTGAGGGACTGTTCTCCGGCAAGTTGACTAAGTTATCCCTCTTCTGCCTCCGCAAAGGATGGCGCTGGACATGATGGAGCAGGCTCCTTGAGCTACGCTTTTGTGTTGACAGGGTGGACCAGTCGCTTCGTGGCAGAGACATGTTGTAGTCATAAAGGTCTAGCAGTGTCTGATGGGTGATTTGGTCCAGCTCATCCAGCTTCTTTCGGATGGCGCTGTATCTATACAGGGGGGAGAGAGGACTCGCAGGTTTAGGGCAGGATGCACATAAACAGCTCTGAATAAAACATGCAGCAAAGTCTGATGAGGTGATTCCGGACATTCCCACCACTAGCTGTAAATCTCACCCCTTGCTGCAGGCTATCGTCCTTGTAGGAGTGAAGTAAATCTGCTTTAGCCCCGTGGCAGTTTATATTGCAGGCTGCTAACATACACCACCAAGTTGAGCTGCCTAAACTAACATGCCTTACTGTGCATGCCCTGCAGCAGCAAAGGCCTGTGAAAGGTGTTCTTTCCACCCACACTGCTACAGAAATGGCCCCTCAAGGACCATGAGGAGAATAAGTACATGCTTTTATCCCACACCCATTAAAGTCAAGGCAGTCAACAGCTCTGGAAGTCTATTTCTTACCTGTATGGATTGAGGGTGCACAGCGTCACGGCTGGGAAAGTGAGCCTGTCAGAGTTCAGGTTGAGGTTGAGGTTGACAGGGTAGCTGAAGTACTCCCTGTAGAGGATCCCAAACTGCCAGTACATTAAGCCGAAGGTGAGAAAGAAGAGAACAGACCAGAAAGCTGTCTTCATCTTATTCTTTTTGGAGCACACCAGGCGAATAGCCCCATGGATGGTTGTGTTGCTGCAGAAAAACTGGAATAGCTCCTGGTAGGAACTGTAGAATTCGATGAGACCCTCCTGCTTCTCTTCTTTCTGCAGCTGCTCCTCTTCTTGCTTACATTGTCTCGTTTTCTCCCCTTCTGGCATCTTCCCTGCCTTCACAGACCCACCCTACAGCATAAACTCAGAATTAGGGGGTCGCCCTCTAAGACCGCGGCTCCGGGTGGTTCTGCATCACCATCTTCCCCAAAACCTCGGTGCTGTCACCCCCTTCTCCCTGACCCCCATCCCAGGCTGTAGGTCCCCCTCCCATATGTGACACGGGGTAGATCCTCCCCCACCGAACAGCCCACCCCCGTCCCTCCTGCCGCTGCGCCCCGCCCGCCCCGCCGGGGCTGCGGCACTGACGCGGGGCGCGGTGCCCATGGCGGGCGGCGGCTGCTCCGGCCGGGGCCGGGGCTGGCGCTGGCGCTGGGGCCGGGGCCGGTGTGCTCTCCCCGAGCGCTGCCGGCTCTCCCGCAGCCTCCCCGGCTGGGCTGGGACCGGTTCCTTTCCAGTTGGAGCCAGCACCCCGCCCGGCTCCTGCCCTGCCAGCCTCTCCCCGCCCTCCTGCCTGTCCCTCCTGCCTGTCCCTCCTGCCTGCCCCCTCCTGCCCCTTCCCTTTCCCCCCGGGCGCCGCTCCCGGGGAAGAAAAGCCTCTTGAAACTCTCAAGTGTCGGCGGCCGGGGAACCGGGGACACGTCGGGGCAGTGACCTTGGCGGTGCCGGCGGGGGTCACGGCGCTGCGGCGGGCGGGCAGCGGGGTCCCCGCGGTGTCCCCCGAGGGGAGCCCAGCCCCGGCCGGGTACGGCTGCCGAGCAGCCCGAACCTCCTTCTCCTCCCACCCCCTCCGGCGGGGACGCGGCGTCCCAGCGAGCCGAGGCGATGCAGAAAGAAAGTTGGCAGCGCCGGTCCCCGGGGCAGCCGCAGGCAGCGCCGGCCGGCCGGGACCCCCCCCCGCGGCGGCGGCGGGACTCGACCGGCGGTGAGAGATCCTGCGTGGCTTTCATGGCCAAATTGTGCTTTCCAAGGGCAAAGCCGAGAGTTTTGGGTGAGACCTGCGAAGGGGATGGGGCCGGGACAAAGAAGGCTGGGAGCGACTCGGTGATACATGAGTTACCGCATCGCCTTAGCTAGTTCCTTAACTAAAGTCAGTCTTTCGTATCCAGAACTACTTGGCCCAGCCATGAGTGGGAACTTGTTTTGCTGATCTGTGTCTAGGAAATCAAGGCCTGCCAGCATTACCCACAGCCTTTCAGTGTTTCCTCAGTCTGTGGAAATGAACACCTGTAGCCAAATGTGACCAGAAATCTCTAACACCCTCCTATCATTATAACCATGAAAGTTCTTTACTGATCTTTTCTCCCAGTGATTTTCTTTCAAACTCTCTCTCTCTGAAGCTTTCACTTATTTCTTTCCTTTCTGGATACCTCCTTCAGAAAAGTCCGTGATCAGAGTGTTCTCTCACTGAATTTTGATCCTTATTGGAGTTTGCTGTGGTTTGGTTAGTGACTCAAAATACGCAGCCACTTTCACCTCTTCATGTTGCAAAATACCATGCTTGAAAAGGGCAAGCTCTACACTTTTGAGGCCAGCAGTTAAGTGACAGCATGCCAGGAACAGCCTTGTGACAGGTGCTTGTTACAAGGCTACAGCCACAACTTGGAGTTTTCCGCTAGCTCCATTATCTGACAAAAAAACCAATGCAAAGCAAAAGCATTGTTTCTCCTGCAGTTCTATACTTAGTTATAACTCCAGTAACTCATTTTTGAACTTTTAGCAAAGATGGAAGTTGCAAAAAGTGGGAGGGATGAGGGGAATGAACTGATAGTGTATCAAACATCTTACAAAGCAGCCTCCTCAGAGCATTACTACATCCAGCTCTGGGGCCCCCTACATAGGAAGGACGTGGTCCTATTGGAACGAGTCCAGAGGAGGCCACAAAGATGATCAGAGGGCTGGAGTACCTCTCCTATGAAGGCAGGCTGAGAGAAGAGAGGTGTGATTGTTCAGCTTGGAGAAGCAAAGGTTGCAAGGAGATCTTATTGCAGCCTTATAGTACCTAAAGAGGCTACAAGAGAGCTGGGGAGGGACTTTTTATAAGGGCACGTAGTGATATGATATGAGGGAATGGCTTAAAACTGAAAGAGGGTAGGTTTGGGATATATATTAGGAAGAAATTCTTCACTGTGAGGGTGGTGAGGCACTGGAGGACATTGCCTGGAGAAACTGTGAATAGCCCATCCCTGGAAGTGTTCAAGGCCAGGCTGGATGGGGCTTAGAGCCACCTGATCTAGTGGAAGGTGTCCCTGCCCGTGGCAGGAAGGTTGGAACCAGATGATCTTCAAGTTTCCTTCCAACCCAAACCATTCTATGATTCTAAGATTACAAGTATCCTTCTGGGTTGGACTGATGGTCCATGCAGCTCCATATCCCATCTTGTACAGTGCCAGTAGGAGATGTCATTTAGTGGAGGGATGTGAGCTCCTCTGACTTGTGCCACTTGTGTGTTTTATGCACTCAGGCAGACCTGGATCCTAACAATTATGCAGCATCGGTGCTTGCAAGTGCCAGTGTAACCTATAGAGCTATAATCCAGCCACTTCACAGAGAGCAACTTGTTTGACTTATATTGTCATAATTTCCTGAAATTACTCAAACAGACTAATCCTCGAAAACTGCCTCTCTCTTACTGGAATTGTGTCTCTATCTTATTGGAATGACAAAAATTATTTTGCCCCTGAAAATGCCCCTTTTATACTCATTTGAATTAACAGCGGCCACAAAGCAACTACAGCCAAATTTGGTATCACTTAGTTAGGCATCCTCCGATTTCCACAGTGTTGAAAAGGATTTTAAACTGTCTTTTTTGGAGAAAATTAATTCAGAAACACAGTCCTTTTTGCTGGTGGGAGACAAAGGTAACTTACAGGTTTTGGTTTCTTTTGACTTGAGGAATAATAAAAATTCAAACACCTGGACTGATTTGCTATATCTGAATGACAGTCTAAAGCAATTTTTTTAGAATTTTGTCATGGCTGACAATTTCCATCACCATGTTGTCTTGGAGAACTTTTGGCCTTTGCTGTTTTGGACATGAAGAGCAGGTAATTAGGGTGTGAGTGCATGTATTGTATGTTTCATTTTTACATGTAGACATGAAATACATCATATATCTATGTACCTCTACATACACATGCACATTTAAATACATATTTATTTTTCAGAAGACTTTACCCATATTTTGTGTGTTTTTTTTTTTTAAATTGGAGTTTTGTTTTGGTTTGTTTTGTGTTTTTGTTTGTTTGTGGTTTTGTGGTTTTTGTTTGGGTTTTTTGTTTGGTTTTTTTGTTTGTTTTTAAGGAATTAATAGGACGTTTACTGGCTCCTTCACAATGTCCAGTGGCCATGACAGCCATGATCCAAGCAATTCCCCTTTCCCTCTTTCTCATGCCAGCTGCTCAGGCTGTTGTGCACTGTCTGCTGGTGTGGGGCACCTCAGAGCACGGATCAGCCCTGAGGTGACTTCCAGTAGCTTCAGTCATGCGAATATCATGCCTTGGCTGTGGCTTTGTAAAAGTCCCTGTGTTCCCATGGTCACATAGATGTGCTGCAAGTTGACTGCCAATGCACAAAGGAACCAAAAATTAATTTTTAACATTACTACATACGCAATTACCACTTGATTCCCCATGTACTTTAGAAACAATGCAAACAACAAATCTCCTGTTGCCAGCTCAGCTCCAGTCTCAATCTCCATTAGAAGAAGATAAGAATTTGCTAACTCTTCAGGGTTTTGTTTTGTTTTGTTTTTTCGTTTTTATTACTTACCTCCTCCCACTCTTCTCTGCTAATTTTTCCCCAGTATGTACATGAACTGGATCATTAAAGTGACCATCTTGACTCGGATTGTCAGTCATAAATGGTATCTTTTTCCTCAGGCACGCTTCACTGTAACAGAAGATATTGGCATGGAATTATTAGTGCAGATTGCAAAAGCAACTCCTGTTGATAATTTGGGTGATTATGTATACTCCTGTCTCAAGCTTCTATCATGCAAGAGTCTTCTCTTGCATGATGAGCATGATGAGCATTTTGCCCATCCACAACTTTCTGGATATTTCCATGTATTGACCTATCAAGGTGAGTCACACCTGATGGAACTGGTTTTGACACTGATGGTTATTGCCCTCACTCCCATTCAGGCTTAGCAGTTATGGTATAATTTGTCTTCTGAAATCCCAAGTCTTGCATTAGGATAAAAGATCTTCCATCAGGCACTACAAATCCTTTCTGGACGTTTTGATTCATGATATTTACTTCACCTCTAACAACAACATTTTAAATCCAAGGAGCTTTATGCTGAAAAGATCCCTGTCACTAGGTTCCTTCTCTTATGAAATGGGAAAGCGCCCTGTTGTTCTGGGCAGTGCTCCTGTATATTACATCTTCACAAGCTGAATGCGTGATTGCTTTTTATTGCTACTGAACAACCTTTGAGTAAACATGAATCATTTTTTATGGCACCAAATTTGAAATGCTTCCTTACCAGCTACATGTATTATCTGCCCAGGTAGGAATGTGATAATAATCTGTAGTACACACAATGTTTTAAAACAGAACAAACTTCTTTTCAACACACTGCTGCTGTGGTGGGGAAAAAAAAAGTCTTTCCCTATGTGGTATGGATTCCAAGTGTAACAAATTATACATGATTTTGAACTACTTGATAGACCTTTGATCAGTTTAATTCTTTTGCGTACCTGTATGAGTAATTGTATTTTCCTTCTGCTGCAAGGCAGAAGCCAGTGATTATTTCTGTATTATTTCTGGATTATCTACCTCTGCTTATATTTTTCTGCATTAAAAGTAGCAGCACAAACGGTCAAGGAACAGCATCGTGGATGTTGCTCTATTTTTAAGTGTTTGGCCAAAGAAGCACCAGTGCAGCAGGTGATAAAGTTGGGTAAGTGTGAGGTTACACATTGCACCACTGTTGTCTTCAACGGGGAGATATTTGTGGAGGTTGCACGGACTCCCTTGAGGCAGAGGTGGTGATCTCTAAAGAGGGTCATTATTAAAAAGCTATCAGGGATTTGCAAACTAATCTAATGGGCCATTGAATGCCTTGCTGCTGATGTAACTTACCAGGAAACAGTGATGTCTGTCCCAAATAACCAGTGATGCCACAGCAGCAAGAACATGTCCATGTCCATACTTCCATGCCTCTGAGTCCCAAGGAGGACGAGTATTTTCTATGTATTTTCAAATGTATTTTCAATACATTTATTCAGTTTTACCTTGTAGGAGCTGAGTGGCTGGAGGGAGCCATTCTGGTGAACCAAAAGGGAACCCTGGGGGAAAATCAAAGCAATATGTGTTATCTCTATCTTTCAGCATGAAAGATGGGAGACTACCAGGTAGAGTCATGAGTATCGTATTGTAGGACTGAGAAAATCCTGCTGGAAACTGTGTGGAGGGAACCCAGTCTCTCTTCCT